TCTCCATTGCTGGATCGATTCGCTTCTCTGGTTTGTACACAAGACATATATGGTAAGCAGTCCCTTGGCGATTGAGGAGTACAGATGAGTCGTCAATATCACCCAAATTTTTGATAGGTTTAATCTTGGAGTAGAACTTCAGCATCGGCGCTCCGAATTAAGCAACATTCTACTGAGCCATTTTACCCCCGTCATAGCTCTTAGTGGAATTTCTCGAATGCTTACATAGGAAATATGGGCATTTGATGGGAAAACTCCTCATAAAGCAAAAAATGAAAATCCGAAAAAATGTATACGTTTTATTCATACATTTTCGTCATACATTTTATTTCGATTCAGTCGTTCATTAAGTGATCGATTATTTGTTGACAGCTTTGGCTCCTCTTGAAAGACCCAATTAAATCACCAAATTTGAATATTATTAAATTTACTAACACTCACCGCTAAGTACCAAATTTCATCATTTCAATCCTTTTTTTTCATACCAAAAGTCGAAAATATTTTAAATCGAAAATACTCTTTGTTTCTTATCAATAAAGAAATCGACCGAATCAAATATAAAACAAAGAAACTGAAGAAAAAACAAATATTTTGATTTAATCAGTAATATTTTTAGCAAATTATTTATTTACACTAAATAAAAAGAAGTGAGATAAGTAAAGTAGAGGAATCAGGGATGAATAGTTGAATGGTATTTCTGAATTCTGAATCCGATCACAAGGATACGATTCCCGCTCATTGAAGCGAATGAGAAATACAAGAATATCGCCAGAATGATCGAACTGACCCACTCGCAGTTCTATTCTCAAGTGGCTCTCCGGTGAAAGCGGTTAATCTCATTTTTTTATGCTAATGGAGCGAGTGAAATCAGAAGAATTAATGATGGAATAAATCTTTATATTGTGAGATGAGAAATTAGCAGCCAGAACAATCTGATTTCGTTTTAAAAATTTTATCCTTAAACCTAAAAAAATTCATTTCAGAAAATTTGGAAAATTCGTTTAAATTACAAAAATCACTGACTGTCAAATCCAACAAACTATTTAATGCAATTTTAAATAAAATTCTGAAGAATTTCATGAAATTACATATTTTGGCAATTTTTGATAAAACTAATTGGACAGTGGCAGAAAATAGAAGAAAATATTACTCAAAAGAAATGCCTTAAAGAAAAGAGTGAAAAAAAATGAAAAACGAATCATCGACGACTTTTCTCATAAAATTTTTATAGATAATTTCCTAATTTAAGGATTAATAAAGAATCTTATTAAGAAATAAATTAAATCTTCTTAAGAATTTAATAAAGAATATTGGAAAAGACTTTAGGAATTTGCTTATTATTCATGAGGAATAAAAATTTGTAGGTAGCAATGGTACTAAGTAAATAAATAGCAATGGATGCTAAATAAATCCGAAAATTGGATAAAAAATAAAATTTAAAAATAAATTTCAAATTTTAAATTAGAATAGCGAATCTGTTATTTCTATAAAAGTCATATTGAAAAAACGCGCAAATTAGGAGAGAATAAATATATATTTTTAAATTTATTTATAAATATACAATATATTTGATGAAAAACATCCGTGGACCCGAAATTAATAGAAATCGAAAAAATAGGTTGCTTGGCAACTATAAATATTTAAATTATGTTTTAGATAACCACTTTATATTAGAGCTATGCATACTTAATAGCACGCAAAATGTAAATTATATCCAAGACGACGGATAAAAAATTTTGATAGAATCAAGTTTTTTCCCAAATGAAAATTAATGCACTAAGAAGAATATGAGAATCCAACTGCTAAAAAAAAGCAATAAGAGAACCTAATATTCTTGAATAACATCTTCTTCCTCGTTTAATGAACACCGCATACCATTTGTTAACTTCATGGACCTTTAGGATGAGATCTGCTGAACGGAAAGCCAGTCTTAGTTAGAGAGATAAGGTAAAGAGAGACAAAGAGGCTACTTTAATAATCACCCCCTTGGCATATAATTGTTCAGGAGATAAATAAGCAATGATCATGTCAAACCTTCGAAAACAATGATAAATAAGCAATGATCATGTCTTCGAATTTTAAAACCTTCGAATTTTAGAATGAAAGGAATATGACATAGAATGGCCTAAAGACCTGAAACGAAAAGAGCCATTATTAATATTAGAAAAAAACATTTGCATGGTAATACAGATGAAATAATCGTAATTCGAATGCGAGGAATTATTCACGCTTGAGATTTACTGATAATTGCTCGATTTATGGTAAATACGCTTGATAAATATGATTTCGCTATTATTTCTATAAAAAAAATATCGCACAAATACTAAACCAAAAATATTTTAGCATTTCTGCGATAAATATAAAACTGATCTAATTCAATATAATAATTTTGGTCATATAACAATTTTTATCAATTTTATCATATTTCTGATGGTATTCCAGAAAAAATTTTAAATTAAAGGAACTAATTAATGCAGTGGAATAAATTAGAGAAAAAAATTCATTGCAGAAATTATTAACAAGTTGTAGAGAAGTTGCAGCATTAAGCATTGATAAAAATGATAAATGTGTTGATAAAGAAAAACGAAAGTGAGCAAAATTGATTGGATATTTTATTTTATCATATCTCCATCCCATTTAGAATTATCAAAATGAACTACCCGAGCATACATAAACTATTATATTTATCCTGCTATTTAATATGGTTCGTGAAAATTTTACTTTAATACTTCAATCGATCTATGCAAAACTTTGAATTGCATTGCAGAAGTTTAGAAGTCCAAAATTACAGCCATTTAAAAAATTTAAACTACCCTTTTATCAAAGAAGAAATAAGAAAAATATCTGAAACATAGACTCTTCATTCGTGGAAAAAAATGAAAACCACAGTTGAAGTCGAGTAAAATCTGCAGTCGAAACAACTATTTAAAAATGCTATTGGCACGCTATATTTTCTATGCAGCCTGGACCCACATACCTTTAATTATGAATTCAGACCCAGAGCAGATTCAAATTCAGACTAAATTTATATAATGTTGGTTCGTTCAAATTTGAATAAAATTCCCTCAAGATTTATTATTTACAAGATTTCATTTGCTATATTAATTCGGATTCATTAATTATTTTTTATTTATTTACAATAAAAAACAAGCAAAGCAATAGCCGTATAGCCGTGCTTGTGTTAATAAAAGTAACGAAAATGTCGATACAGGTTGATAAAAGTTGAGTACTGAGGATAAGTTTTGCACCAAATGATTTTAATCTTAAACTGAGTCTAATTTTTAATTTTAAAGATTTTAAAGATTTTAAACTTCAAAAACGACACTTTTTTCATTTTTGAAAAACCGGTGGTACAAAATACCACATCTGAAGGCAATTTCTTCAATAATAAAAGCTTCAAATGAAGATATTTTGAGATATTTTTGAGACTTTTGATATTCATATATGCTTGCGCACTTGTAACCCATTATTCTCCTTTATTATATTACTATCAGCGATGGAATCAGATTGCGCAGCTTGGAAAACACTTTGCCTTTGTGGCCAGCGGAGTAGCCTAACCAGTAACGATGAGAGTTGTTAGAATAAAAATCCCTTGAATTTAAGGAAATGTAATAGTGTTTCGCATCACTTGAATTCCGAAAGTTAAAATTCCAAAAACCAAAATCTGGCAAAAATAACTTAAAACTTCTATTCTCTATTTTTCTTGGAACTTGAAATAAGCAAATCGCTTAATGTGGACAAAGAATTCTCTTGAAATTCGCTTAATGAACAACTCCTTTCGACGATTCTTTACATGGCACAACTCATTTATTATATCTATTCATATTTTCGTATCAGCATTCAGCAAATTAATTGTTGTGTGTTTCGCCTGCAGTTCATTCATATTTTATTTTTTCCACGTTTTCTCCTTTTCTCGAGCCATCAATGAATGCGAAGCTACTTCATTTCAAAAAGGACGCGCTAAAACTGCTGCTTGAGATTACCAGTTGGACAAGAATTTCAATAATTTTCACTGACACTATGGAAATGACAAATTTTTTTGAACAAAGGAAATTTCGTGAAGGCCGTGCTTCAGTATTTGCAAAACGAACAGCCTGTTCTAACGAAATTTTATTCAACTATAACGATAGATTCAATTGCTAGCATTAAAGAAATGTTCAAGTCAGCTTAGACGTATTAGTATGGATTATAAATGCACTGAAATGCATAGTTGCTGCTAACTACAAAGAACTGCAATAAGATACTGGATTGTGCAGGATAACTGCAGCGAAAATCTGGTCTTAAGATAAAGTGAAAAATATCCATTTTTTGAAAAAATATCTGTTTGACTTATTATCTGTTTGACTCGAATGAAGTGGTACCAGACTTTTAAGATTTCGGACACACTCTAATATCAATATCAAACGAAAAAAACGAAACTTCAGCTCAGATATATACTAGATAAAAAATTTCTTTTGCCCTGCTATTTGTGGAATCCCTACAAAATCACTATAAAAACGAAAGCCCGCACCTAATTACAATGTGCAATTCTAATGGGCGAATGAAGAGCAAAATACTAGGAAGATATCTATCTGCCTTTAACCTTTCTTGCTTTGGGAGAATAATATACCTACAAAAATAATACACCCTACAATACACCAATAATACACCTACATTTACCTAGCGTTCTCGAAATCCACCTTTGCTCATAAACCACTTGCATTATCATCGCTTAAGTAGTTAGATCATATTCTCCGCCATGTCATAGAAAATGGTCTCACTGCTTATTAAGCCCCGTATTCGAAAGCAAGAAGAGAGGTGGATTGATATGGGAAAGATTTTGAAAACATTTCAGCAAAGCATGCACCGTAGACAGCAGAAAAAGAAATTTTATTTTTTCTTTTTCATTTTTTTTTCTTTTTAACACTAATGGAAAAAAAACGAAAAGTTAAGCGAGAAATTTTGCTCAACAATGGTATATTTTAAAAGAAATAAAACTGAAATATAAGCATCAGAAATCATCAATGGCACCATACTTTAGGGTGTTTAAGCTCAACAATTTTAAGATCTCGAACAACAAATTTTTTCATGTTCAACTCCGCATTTCGTTTATGGCATTCCTGCCATAACTGCTTCTGAAGTTTGAGTTCCTTTAATGTGAGATCTTTCCTTATTGATGATCCGATAGGCAAGAGTGATTTCACTTTAGGGCAATGTAAAACTTGATTTGACTGGTTCTTACTTGCCAATTTTACTTGAAGTATACGAGATTGACTTTCGTGACTGCCAAATCGTTGAACCGATCTAATACAATTTTTATTGAAACCGGCAGCTTCTACTAGCTTTTCGACAAATTTTATATCATATAACATACCATTTAGCCCCGTAAAAATCTCTGGGACACCGATTATAACAAAACCATTCGCTTTATCCATTCGCTTATTGTGCTCGACAACCGAATCCACTACTTTTTTTTCAAACGTTTCGTGATTTACCATTTCATCATTAATTGAACTTTGCATCCGACCAATTTTTTGTGTTAGATTTTCAATTCTTTCCGAGAGTTCCTTCAAATTTTCGCCTTTGTCTTCGGTGCAATCATTTAACGTTAGTTTAAAATCACCATTTGCTTCGACATTTGTAAAGAGTTGTTCATTAAATAATTTCGCCTGAATCGTCGTATCCACGAAAGACGTTGTTGACTGACCAGAAATCTGTATTTGACCAATTTTTTGTGTATGTTTTTCACTTTTTCCGGTAGGTTTGTCTTCTATAACATCGCTAAACACTAGTTTAAAATCACCATTTGTTTTGACCTTCGCCGTATTCAAAACAGATGTTGGTTTAACGCAGATCTCACTAAAAATACAACACAACGCCAAATTCATGAAAGATTTGAAGAAATTACTAAGCAATAAAGCAAACCTGTCGCTTGGTCCATTTTGCACTATTCTATGGAATGCCGGCGAAGCAGCGGACGAATCCAGCTGAAATAAAACAAAAAAATACATGATAAAAGGTAAAATAAGTCGTTGACTTTAGAAGTAAAAGTAGAAAAAAAATTTTTAAGTCACCGTGGTAACATCGTATTTTCCGTCACATTCGATTCGATTATTAGCCTACTACTGATAATTTTTTGAATAAACCTTCAAATTCAGATAGCTGAAGACATCTGTACGTTTCTTTGTAAGTTACTCTGGCAGAAACACCATGCAAACGCCTCACTCTGATCGCACTTAAGTTGTTGCAATTATTGCAATAACCAGAAACCCTACCAGAAATGCACACTTTTGGAAGAAGAATTTAAAAAATTGAATTGCAACAACTGAATTGAATTGAAGAATTAAAAATTTTTTTCTAGTCGAAGTTCTACATTCCTTAATAATAAAATATTAATAATCTAGTAAAAGAATAGTAGGATATATTTTTTTAAATATTATATATTATATTATATATAATATATAATGTATTATATATAATATAATATATATTATATATTATATTATATATATATTATATATTATATTATATATAATTCATATATAATTCATAATTATATAATTCATTATACTCGATACAATTGTCTATTTCACAGTTAATAAAAAAGTTATTATCCATTAATATCCATTGTTTAAAGATAAAGGAAATTGGAATAAAGACATGAGTGGAAAGACATGAGTGAGTGACCGTGTCTGACCACGTCTTGATTGGCACATCTGGCTTTTCACGTCACCAATCACACGGTTTAACAAACAATGAAATATGCGTCAATTTTTGTGTTGTGCGATGAAGAACGTGCCCTAAACACCGAAGGCAACCCTTTGTGATGGTATTGTCAATGGTAACTGAACGAAGGAGGAGGAAATTATGTGAGATTTTATCAACTCGACGAACCCGTAAAATGTATCTTGGACATGAGTGATCAAAATCTGATAGCTTTTTTTATCCTCCACTCTTCTGATCATGCCTCGTAGCCAGCCACACGGCAAAAATCGAACGAGTCGCGGCTATATAGATGCGACAACAAGGGTGTCCATTATCCAGTCTATCGCATGGTTGAATATTGTAGAAGAAAGAACAATCCTGACGGACCTCAGTTTTTATTTCGAAGGGATCTATCAGTTCCTCATATACACGGATCTGCGCCGATTTTCGCTCATAAAATGTTTTTATGAGTCGAATAATCTTCTCTGGAATAACACCACTCTCCAAAGCGCCGCTACCAATTAAATCAAAGGCAGCCGCAAAGTCGAAGATGCAAATATCTGAAGCGGATGTTCCAACATCCTTCTTAAAGTGAATATCTGATTAGCGCAATCCCGTCTGAATCCAGCTTGATTAAGGCGCATCCTACTATCTCGTCCTTGCACTGTTAAGTAAAAGGGAAGCAAAAATTTTCTCTAAGACGTTTAGTGGGCTGATTCCTCGATAATTGTCGCAGTATATCTTACCACTTTTCTTGAGAATAGGGAGCAGAATTGCTTTGCTCCAATGATCTGGTAATCTTTCTTTTTTCCAAACCAGAAAATTTGTCGAAGGTGCGCTATGAAAGAAGTTGGGTAACATTTGAAATTGGCCTTAAGCTTATGGATAACGGAAATTATTCTTCGGGTTGCAGGCTCGCAATTGCAAGCCTATGCTTCGTGTCAGCTATATCAGGGGCAACAGATGGTGCTTCATGGCTGAGTTTGGCCTCAAAGAATTCGACCTAATACTTATTTATACTTTTCACTCTGCTTAGGGAATTCGGAAAATTATATTTTTAAAGGAGAAAATGCAGTTTTAATAGAGAAACAGTGTTTTTCCTGTAAAATATCCTTTCATTTTGTATAAAAAAGAATAAAATATCTATAAAACACCTATTTTTATCAATTCATTGTTGAAGATATGTCCGATTTTAAATATCTTTATCTTAGACCCACTCTAATCCCAACCCAAAGGGCCAGGAGAAAGATAAAATTACAACTAGGATAACTGTTGCTAACAATGGGTTCTTCCGGTTGACGAAATCTTTATAAAGTCGCACCGATATAAAGCTACTCGGTCTTGCTATATAGCAGTATGGCTGATGACAGTGGATATATTAAGAAGTCATCTGCCTTTGACCACTCATGTCTAATATCATTTTACTGTCGAACTGATAAAATCTCACTTAATTACATAACTGCATCCACCTTCGCTCGAATACCATTTGCGCAAATAATACCATTACAAACCGTTACTGGTTAGGGCATGTTCTTCGTCGCCTACCACAGAAGTTTACACACATTTCGTTACTTGTTAAATTCTTTGGAGGAGAGCCAATCAAGATCTGAACTGATGCAGTCAGGAAAAATTTTAAACGTATAAATGGACCAACGATATTTGGACTTACACGGTGGAAAAAGGAATGGCTTCTATTACTATCAAAGATGTGATAGCCTAGAAACGCCTTATCTTTGTAGCCAATAGAAAATATTTTTCAAACTTTTAAGAATTTTTAATTAAAACCATTTTATCATAATTTTTCCAGTTACTTAGCGACAGAAATAGGTGGATTACTAGCACCATTCCCATTTATCTTTTATGTAAAAGGAAAATTATCTCTACTGAGATTAGTACCAAAATGCTGTGAAGTGAAGGAAATAACCTACCGACCATTCTATACAATCATAGTAGTAAAATTTAGGAAATTTAGGATAAAATTATCTTTCAATAAATTCTTTTTTATATATCAGAAATTCTAACCTTTTGTTCAAGTGTTTTTATATATGCATCCCAAGCTTGACGTATAACCATAATGCTTTGATTCGCGAACATCGAAGGATACAAAATACCAAAGTTATTCTCGTTTTGAGGTGAAATCTCATCGCCGGTTTCGATGTTATCAAAAAAAAAAAGAGGTAGCGATCGTTCATCAATTTTAGTTGGTTCTAATTCATTAATATTCCCCCTATCTTCTATCAAATCGCTTTCCAATTCATTACTTTTATTAATTTCGTTATCACTCTTATTATCGTCAACGATGGAAAAAGAACGTGAACATGTGAATGATTTTTTGTTATCATCAATAAGTGAAAAAGATTTTTCCTCATTTTCAAATAAATTAGATATTTCTTTATTATTCTTTTGTGTGAATGGATTATTATTGGCTTGAAGAGGATAATTTTTCTTTCCACTGATTATTTCCTTACCATATATAGTGGTAATAATGAACTGCAAAAGAACAGATAAGTACTGATCACGAAATATTATTATAGCTTTATAACCACAATGAATTTTTTGCACAGAAAAGTCTTGAGTCAAACCTCTTTGCTCATGCTTTTCCATGCATTTTATTAAGTTCCCGAAACCGCAAACGATGTACTGAATCAAAACATCATACGACGAATCAATGTATTTGTGATCCAGTGAATAATACTGTTCGTTTGGAACTGCCAAACGTAGGAAACGTGTGTAATTTGTATGATATTTGGAAAACCAATCTTCAATAATTTCCAAACCTTCTCGTACTTGCCGCGCACTATCAAGCGAAATATCAATTCTGTCGTTTAGCGTACTGACGATATCACATGCACGTTGTAATTTCACACATGAAGAAACGTCAGCAAAAAATCGAGTGGTTACATTAGCCATTCCGAAAAATATTCTAAAATAATTATTCCAAGTGTAAAAAAGAGCGATTTAACAATAATAATACGATAAACTGGTTGGCCCCATCGAAGCATTCGAGGCATTTAGATGATCCTTTCAGAATACACTTGAAGCAACATCTACCTAACTTTTAAGGACAAATTTCCTTTGGCCAGGAGCCCTGGACTAAAGTTATTTGGTTGATAACAATTCCACTGGATTGTCAGCAATTATTCGTTTTCAAATATTATTCATATAAATGAAAAAATTTAAAATGAGTATTTAAAATGTACAGAACAGTGAGGAAAGAGAGGAGATAAACTCATTTGCTAGAAAAAACACGATTTTTGGCCACTTTTCGAATTCCACGAACAACTTCTACAGCTTATTTCTTCAACTCTTCTTTGGAAATTCCCAAAATAAAAACAATAACAAAAATTGCAAATTTATAGGTCTCTGATGACCTCTCGAAGAAATACGCCAGAGCAGTAGAATTGTGAGGATAAACAATCGTCAAGGGGTCACATTTTTCAAAAAAGTTGTGAAAGGCAAACATCACTTCAAATCAGAAGCTAACGAGAAACCATGAAGTCGATTGCCGCTCTGTTTTGGACCAAAACCGAAAATAAGAATATTAGTCAAATGTCCATCCTCGACCATTCACAATTCACTCTAATTTGCGGGCTTATTTATCTATTACAAAGAAAACACAAAACAACAACTATGTTTCCTGTAGCGTAAAAATAAAAGGAATAAAATAATGAACTGATAACAATGATAATAGATAAATATATAAAAATAATAATAATAGTAGCAATAATAACAATAAACAAAACAATAATAATAATATTATAAATAATAATAAATAATAATAAATAATATTATTATTAAATAAGAAATTTATAAAATTTTAGATCATCGGAAAAAAATTTTTTCAACAATCCTATAGTTAACCTAATTAAAGGATATTATAAATATTATTTATATATCCTATTTAAAACTATTTATTTAGCTAACCTCTTAGGGAGTTCATCGCAATAATCAATAGGGTGAATAAAGCAACTGTGGTTTTTCCGGGTGTTTCAAATAGGTTCAATAATTTCAACTCATTTGATTTGGCTGCATTTGTCTTAGGCTAATTTAGTTCGATTTTATTTTGAATATAAAATTTTATCAATAAAGATTATTTCTTGGATTATTATTATTACTCGGCTAACGCATAGTGAATTTAAGTGAAATGGCTTTTTTCTCTATAGTTAATGGACTTTGGATTTATTTACTCGGCTTAAGGAATGCCTTTGTAGTCCTTTCGATATACTTAATGGATTTCGCGGACCTAGGGGAATAGCAGTATTGCATTAGAGGAATAAATATCTTAAAATAGCAATAAGAAATTTCCCATTTTTATTTTTAAACATTTTAAACAACTGAATTGGCACTTTGCACGACTTACTTTATCCACCAACAATCTGCTACTGAGACCAAAACTTAAATTTTAAATAACTTTGAAAAAATCGTTATCAGCAGTGATTTTCTGGCATAACAGATCAGTGGGAAAAGAAATAAGCTGCTTATTTCCAATTAACGATTCCAAATCATTCTGTACCTGAGGAAAAACTGTCCAAACTTCCATGTGGAGAATCATCATCAAATGTGGAGAAACTAAAAATAAATAGTAGAATTTTAATAATTTTAGATATTATCAATGCAAGGAAGTAAAGAATAAAGCATCACATCAACGCACCCACCCAGAGGCACACTTAATTTTTAACATTTCCCATACTTTTAATACGTACTCCTTGCTAGTATTATAAATATTAAATAAATTTGTAAAATTATAATTTATAATTAATTATAATTAAATTTATAATACTATTATTATTATTTTTATTATTACTATTATTGCCACTATTATTATTATCACTTATTTTTATATATTTGGCATTATCATTATTATCAATTCATTATTTTATTCTTTTAATTTCCCATAAATTTTTTCGAAATTTCCATGCCATCCCCCGAAAATTCTGCATAGTATATCATTTAAAAAAAATTAAAAAGACTAATAAGACTAAAAAGACTAATAAAAAGAAATCCTCAAGATAAATAATTAAATATATTTTTTTGTATTGAACACGTTTCCCCCGGTATTTTTCAGTATTTGCTGCATTAATACCTTCGCAAGTTGATAACAGTAGAAATAAATAATACCCTATAATCAGTACCATTTGCTGATATGAACTGACTGCCTGCAGATTCATGTCTTTCATTATTTGGGTGAAACTTTTTTCATACTACGGAAAACCAAAATTTTTAATTTTTTAAAAAAATTTTTTGAAAAAAATAATTTCAAAACAAATTTTGAAAGGAAAATTTATCCAAAATAAACTTTTTGGTAATTTTTCTCCCCAAAAGAGCATCGCATTGTTTGTGAGATAAACCAATTTTAATGCCAAGTTAGACGAAACATTTATTTTCTCTTCATAAAATGAAACCAATAAAAAACCAAAAACCGCATAAGAAAACAATTTGCAAAATTTTAAAGCACATTAGTTTGCTTATCTTGGACGACCATTATTTTTTGGTCGACGTTTCCCCTTATCGCCATCGCTATATTGCAGTATAAATTTTCTTTCGTTTAGATGAATTGCCATTCGAAATTTCTCTCGGCAGTGTTAACAAAATGTATAAGTACTCCAATTTTAAGAGGAAATATCTTGATCTCCTCCTAAATGAGCTTAAATCACCAATACAAATCACCAATAACCCAATGTATTCAACGAAAAATAAATTATTCTACGGTACTTTTTGTAAAAGAATTTCTCTAGTGATTTCAATAAATTTTTATAAGTAATAAACGACCAATTATTTTGAAAAATTTTGGAATATTTAAAAGATAATTTTAGAAACATGCAAAAGAACTCTCAAGGATCAGCACCTGGCCTGAACAAAACAATTCACTAATTTGCTGGCAAGCAAACCTTAAATATAATACATAATTGTGTGAAATTTTAATGGCAAACATTACGCTGACATGTTTTCAAATAAAAAATCCTTGTCGCATAAATTTTTTCTCAAAGATATATATCCTGAACGAAACATATCTTAAAATAACCAATAAGTTAAAAGAAAAGTGAACTGTTAATGGGCTAATATGGCTGACTCTATTAAAAATAAAACCAATGAAAGAAATATAAAATTGAAAAACCTAATCAAAGAAAAAAAATTATTTGATGAAGCCTTTAAAGAGAAACGAATCATTCATCGGTATGCGTATTTATATATACTAAGCCATAAATTTACAGCCAAGTATCTGATACGAACGTGTCGAAAGAAAAACATGAAAGAAGAAATGATTTCGTGCGTATAAGAATTATTGGTTCCTTGATTTCTCAACGATGAGAATCAGATAACAACAATCTCTTCAATTTACTCTGGCTATGAACAAAGACAATGAAGACAATGACAATCAAAGAGAATATATTGAGAATATACAGTTTGAACAAAAAATCTCATTTTAAGCGACATAATCATACTGCCGAATATCAGCTTCATTCCTCTTTATATACTCTCGTTCAATAAGAGATTCAATCCTATTTTTGACTAACTGTGGTGACGGATGGAATCGATGTTTCAATTGACCCAACACCTAAAATTCAACAAATGAACAGAATTATAAATATTGAAAAATTATAACTCCTCAAAAATTTGGAGAAATGATAAAACGAAATAAAATAACGAATGGCAAATATAAATCAATCGAGTACTATTTGGAAAGATCGACATTTGAAATCGCAATACCTCACTAATAAGAACAGAATGTTGCAAATGTTTTCTAGCTTTCATAATACGGACTATAGCAGCTTCAATTTCGTGCTTTCGGTCATCATCAATCTAAAAAAAACCAATCTAAAATTTAAAAAAACAATAAAGTTAAAATATTAAGTTAAGTTTTACCCTTACCTCCTTAAAATAAAGAAACCATATGACAATAATAAGTAAAATGGTTAACGATTGTCACCTTTGCGCGAGTTTCTTTTCTTTCAGGTTCTGCCTCTGCGCGAACAGATACTGCTTGAATTTTTACCCTCGTTAATTTTGATGTAAAATTGTCATTAACCCAGAATTCATCTGTATTTTCTAAAACGAAATCATATGCCATCATGGAATACCCAACAAGAATATACAAATATGCAAATAAAATCAACTTATTTAAAAAAAAAAACGAATAAATATAATCACCAATATCTCTACCGACACCTTTTCGACAGAGAATTTTTTGAGAAGATTTAGCCATCGCTAAGGACATCAATGCCCTCTTGAGATCTTTTTCAGGAATATTAGTCTCTACAGCCAATTCCTGAAAACATAAAACTTTATCAGCATCAATGTAGAACTTTTAAAAAATCAAAAAATGATCTGAAGAATTACTTGAAATGTTATTTTCGGCTTGACATTGAATCTAAGCAAAACACACATCTGATAAGTGCTAACAGTCAAAATCTTATGCTCTTCCTTGCGAGGAATTGATGAAGGACCTGCTACATCAGACTCCTAAAACCACAAAAATATCTAGTTAATGAAAAAAAAAATCACACTAAAAATTTCAATAAATAATGAAAACCTGTTGACTTAATTCATCCATAGTCGCATTGCCTCCATAAAAAATAGCCTTCACATCAGCATGCCCAAGCATAGGATTAAAATTTAGCTTTCTTCCCGAATGTTTCGCGAGATAAAATGCTTTGTAACTATCGAATGACTGCGCCACTGCTTGAGGTAATATGCAATCTAGCGCCACTTGAGTAGGCCAATAACAACTAGTTAGTACTTTTACCGTTATATCCACTGTATCACGAAACTAAATTAGATAAATATCACAAACCGATATTACAATAATAACAATAAATAATAAATAAAAAAGCCCTTCGAAAACAACTAAAAGCTTTATTAAAACGAAATAATAAAAATCAACATTTTCATGACGCTCCTTGAAATCGTTCATGAGTATGTTCGATAATTCGATATCCTTGAACATTCCTTCCAGCTTTGATGTAAACTGACAACCGCATTCAGTCTGAAAATAAGCATACTTGGGGATACAGTTATAACTGCAATAATCTCTTATCCAACTTTTAATAATAGATTTATTAGGAAGAGGAATCGAACTCCTATTGATTGTGCTTAACATCGGCTAAAGTAATCGAAAAGCAACCATAGAATATAATAAATAATAAATTTAATAAAATATATAATAATAAATAATATACAATAATATATAATAATATTTAATAATATATAATAATAAATTTAATTATTGAAATAAATCTTACTTTTAACTTTGATACCATCGATTTTTCAGCATCATCTGATATACTACGTTGCAATAGCAATCTTTTAGCAAGATGGGATTTATAATAGCTAAAAACAGTAGATGAAGAAGCTAAAAAACTAAACCAGAAATCGGAAATTATGGCAAATATTTCCGGTAAAGAAACATTTTGATGCTAAAATTAAATAAATATCATTGAACCATGATCCAAAATAATTTCATAATATATTTTGTTTTCTATAATACTTTATGACAAAAACGATAAAAAATTTTGATTCGAATATCGAAAACGAATTTTTTTAAATATATCAATATAAAACATAAAACCTTTCAAAAATATCTTTATCCTGAAGGAAACGGAAAAGAACCATCGATTTTTCCTGCACCAATTCCTGTTCGCTCTCATTTAGCTAAAAAACGGTAAGATTTTAAAATTTTTCCTAACCTTTCAGAATGAAAATTCCTTTCATCTAAAAAAAAATAGACAGAACGTTTTCAAAAATGTAAAAGCAAACAAACCATTCTCATTCCTTTCTTGAGCTTATCATCTATGAATAATGACAAATATTCTGGACTTTTCGGATTTAAATTAAGAAAATACTCAAAGTCGCTTTGCATTTTCTGCTTGAAAGACTTATCGTTCTCGAATGCGTCTTTTAAAAAATGATCGAAACGATCTTTCAAAACCATTAGAGACTAAAAGATAATTCTGTCAAAAAATGAAGGTGAAAAATGACCAATCGGCATAAAAAAAGAAAAATATTGATTTAAACAAGGATATAAAAAGGATATAAAAATTTCTCTAATAGACAGTGAAAGTGAATGAATTCCCTTCCAATATCAAACAATTAAATGGCCAATCGCAGCCAATTGATTTTGTGATACTTATAGACTAAAAGAACTATCAACATTCTAACGGATTTTACTTGGATAAATTGGATGGGACTCCTGCCGGAATTTCCTGGTTCTGTTTCAATAGCTTCATTTACCAGTGATTCACCCTTTTTGCGAAGATATCTACTGATGCAGTCAGTCATAAACGTAAGTCCATTTTTAACGCGCTTGATTATTCTGTACATACGACTTAAATCTGCAAAATCATAATAACGAAATAAATAGCAAAAATTAAAAGAATACTGATAAAATTCTAAGATTTAAGCAATAAATCAAAAAAAAATAAACCATCAATGTCATCGTTTGTTAGCATATGATAAATTCCACTGCCTTCCATTTCTATGATAGTTGTCATATGTTTTTCTATTAACTCTTGATCCAGTACCTGGAAGAAATTGTCAGGTCTAATCCGCAAAATTATTTGATTAGTAATTTATATATGTAGTAATTTGCTATAATTTGTAACCAGAAGAGAAACTTATTTCTTCCAAAATTTGCATAATTTTTCCAATCCCTCCTTCCTAAAATATTCCAACTATCTCAAATGGCTTCTTTTGTACTAACATATTTCAACACCTTTCCTTCAAATCTTCCAAATCTGGCCGTAACTTCTGCTTCTCAGAATCCCGATAAATCTCTTTAATGTTCCATCAAAATCGCAACCAAATTTTTCCATACCATATCTTGTTTGTAACACTTCCTTATATCTAACATTACCATGATCAGTCATACATCATTTAGCCAAGTCCATGTATCGCGAAAGGCTATTACTATTCATAAAAATGGAAAATGAATTGGGACCAGTTTGCAATATCAACAATTACCGTCAAAAGGATCACATAAGCAGACTCGAGAGGATGCTAAGAAAGGCAATTTTCACTTCAAGATGCAGTTTAGTGGCATGTCGAGTAGCAAATTAACAAAAAAGGAGTAATCGACAAAGAGTGATTAAATTCATAAAAACTCATTCATAACTGTAAACTTATTTAAAAAAAGGAAAAAATAAGGTAGGAGCTAATGGACTACGAAAAGGAGATATTTAATGAAAGATAAAACCCTTAAAAGAAAAGAAAAAGAGGCGGATCGACCTCAAAGCAGCCTTTTTGCCTACACCGATTCGTAACACCATCAGAATTCGTTAAAAACCCTCCATATTCAGATCCAAATATCCTTAATTCTCTTTATCCAACCAAACCAAATAAATTCTTTTATTGGAGAGGTAGGTATCACTTTATCGAAAGTTGTATTACGATATGTATTACACAGGCCCTTTGCAGTCCTATAACTTCCCAACACCATATTATACCCTTTTGTAAGAAATTACTAATATTCCCTAAAGGACTATTGTACTGTCTACTGACTACTGACTATTGTACTGTCTACGGACTAAGGACAACTGTACTATTGTACTGTAAAATCTCAGCATATTATATTGAAATTTTTTGATAACACCTAAAACTAACAACATTTTGTGGAAAATCTAATAAAATCTGTTCATAGCTTCACTCTTTTCTTCTGATATGATTATTGGCCACACTTTACACGGCTTTAATTCTACCAGAACCAGTTTCAACTCCTTAATATCACCCACGCTCGTATGTTTCATAAACTACATGTTACTAATAAAACTACATGAAGAAACCTATTAAAATTATTTATATTATAAAATTGGAAAAATCGACTGGGAGAAAGGTAACAGTGTAATGGAAAAAAATATGGAATATAGAGATGTCAAAAGAGCTTTATAAAATTTCGAAAGGATGCTAAGAAAATATAATGGCCTTTGACGACACAGCAAGAAATATGCCATGGTTTGAAGATAACCATCCATAGAACTGATCTTTTTACTATTATTATTCCCTATGAAATACTAAAGTTATCACTACATATAATTTATAACCACCATTGGCAAAAAATGGAGTGAAATTTAGAATATAAATTTATATTCTAAATTTTGCCTCAATTCAATATTTTATAATTAATTAAATAATTAATTAAATTACTATTATTATCGAAAAAAATTTTTTATAAATCTTTTTGAAACAGGGAAATAACCTTTAAAATTTTCTTTTCTGTTTCACTATCCAAATAGAACTTTGTTCTTGTCGATTCATCTTCGATACACTGTTCTACCTTCCTTAGGTACGTTATGGCATTATTTTCAAGAAGAAATTTTTGAGCAAGAGAACGAAAATATTCGGCAGAAACTCGGAGAAAATGAACTTCAAAATCATGCTCATAAACATTACGCGAATCAACGCCTAATGCTAATAACATACAACAAGCATTCTTTACAGCAAGCCTGAAAACAGTTATTGATAATTAATAATTATAAAGATAATATAAATATTTTAATAAAAAAGGCTTAAAATAAGTATGAAAGGAAAAGTTAGCTGAGAAAACCTGTCAATAATTTCGCCTGCTCTCTCAGCCGCTATCATTTTCAGAAGTATATTGCGAAGACTATCACCTAATGTACCATATCGAATGATTTCATCTCGAAAAATTGTCAGACCAAGATTAAAAACTGGATCAACATTTTGCTGTTGCACATAAACTCTGTCCATATACCTGAAAAACAAGAAAAATAAACAAAATGTCAGCAACTGGTGAAATTATAAACAAATCATTATAAACAAAATTGTCGATTTTCGATGAAAAGATATATATCACTTACATGAGAATATCACGTATCATAACCATGGCAGTTGTGTGATCGTGCCAAGCGGAATTCAATGTCTCCAAGAAATTACTATTGACCGAACGTAAAACTTCTTCGCGCACCTTAAATAAAATATCCGTAAGAAATTATAGAGAACTATTTAATATAAATAGCATATAAATAACATTTTAGTAAAAACAGAACTTTTTCTTAATTTAATAAATAAAACTTTTGCAATAGTAACCGATTAAAATGCATAATAATTCAAAATCTAATATATTGCAGTATCATATGATTAACATATGAAAAACATATGAAAAATATATGAAAAATGGCTATAAAAGAGAATTAAAATGATTTTCCCGATTTGTTACTGCTAAAGAACAAAAATCGAACCCATGATGTCTGCTTCGAGGAAATAGAAAAAATTCTTTTTTGAAGAATCAAACTTGAACGATTTACAATTTAGGACTACAAAGATGTGAGAAAGATATAGAATATTTCATTTTTTAATCAATTTTTAGATCACTAAAAGAATATAATGCAATGAAAATAAAACAAAAATAAATCAAAATAGGGCGAAAATTTAAAGTAAAAATGAAAACACAATTACTGTTTTTAAATGATCCTCCACAACTCCTTTCAAACCAACATACAATCGTTCACCATGCTTGTGCAATACCATTGTGTAAGCATTACGATAGAGCTCTTCAAAACTTAATCCGGAATTATTCTTTCGTTGAATCTCTTGAATAGCACGCTTCAACAATTCCCAAATTTGTTGGACGTATTTTTCATCCATTGTCGTCTGAAAAAAAAGAATGATTAAACGAAAAATTTTAATTTTCGGTTATTAATTATTAAATTAAGGAGAATTACTCATATAGAACCACCGAAGAACTAAAATTATGTATCCCAATAATAATTGCAACAAATCTAATGTAAAAATTTATATATGAAAATAAATTATTACTTAAATATCTAAAAGAATGCCAAAATCACTAAAAAATAACTTTGTTAATTGAAATAAAGATAATACTAAATAATAATAAATATAATATTAATAAAAAGAATACACTGAAGAATGCGCCAAATTTTCAAGATTAACCTTACTGTTAACACTATGTATATTTTTCTTACTATAAATATCAGTCTTTAAAAAAATGGGAAAAGTTCATGGCATTTCTCTCTTGACACTTTTTACAACATAAAGGAAATATGATTTTCCTAAATATATTATTGTATATGTATGATAGATAAAGCCAGACCATTGTGTTTCTTCAGTAAAATCCAGACCATGAAAATCAAGTAAACTTCCATGATGCTACAATAATCCAAAAATATAAAAATATATTCCAAAACATTCCAAATTTATGAGAGAAATTCCACAAATTATGGAAAGGCGCTTACGATAATCGGTTGAGTAGCATTATATAAGTCTTTATAATTAATTAATAATTGTTGAACAATTTCTTCAATCACATTTGATTGATTCGACTGCATTTGAATGAAAAATTATTCAGCAAAAAGAAAACAACCAATGAACGATTAAATTATTTAATTAATGTTTGAAAAATTAACTGAACATTTTCGTGTCAAAAAAAAATGCAAATCAAATCAACTGTTTCTAAATTTTCAATTATTCAAAAGACAGATATCCTCGTTCTGCTTTAATTTCACATATTTATTTCATTAAAATCAACTCATTTTAAAAGAAATCAATCTTAGTTCAATTTCAATAAATAAAAAATTTCAATAAATATCATGAAAATTGCAGAAATATTTTAGAATTCCAATAAAAAAATATATCTTTATATCATTAAATTACTATGTTTATATCTACGTGATACCAAACTTTAAAAATAAAATACAAGATAATCTGGAAAAATTTAATAAAGTCCCTTTCTATAATGCAAAATTTCAAATCCTAAATAAAAAAATAAAATAAGGACAAAAATTGCTGCAAATTTTATGTAATGTGTATTACGTGCAAAATAGTGTAATTAGCCAAAGAAAGTTTCTATATTCGAAGATTTTTTATAAAACTGATAATTTAAGAAAAATAGAATAACCGGAAATGCTCGTATTCGCATTTTACTGCCCGATGGTCCAGAACCACCACTACCACCGCTTTGTGAGCCTCTTGTATGGTGTACTACTCGATTCATTATCTACAATATGATAAATATTAGGAGCGGAATGGCTCAAGAGGTTGTTACTCATTCCGAGAGCGTCGATGCTGAGGTTCTACTTCCCGCAAACTGCCCAAAAATCCGATGCCGATCTTATGCTGCCGATTCACCTGTACTTCGCCAAGAGATTCCCTCACATATTTGTCCAGTGCGACAAGCCAACGGAGCAAGTCAACCAATAATGTTAGGGCTATCAAAAAAGATATGATAAAAGATAAAAATTAACAAATTAAATAAAAGATATTTCTAATAGAACATAAACAACGTCGTTAAAATACGACTTCATAGGGATGGAAGCACATAGTACATCACAACTGTCTGAAGAAATTACTGCCAAGTCTAAGAAAAGAATTTCGACGAAACCAATTTTCTGGAGAGTTTACTTATCATTTCGCAAACTATTCCACTAAAAATCATAGTCAATAATAATACAAAACAATATCCAATGTATATAATATTAATAATAATAATGACAAAAAAAATGAATAATAATTAATTAAATAATCAAAATTATCATTAATAAAATCAACTCGCCCACTGGATTTCTGCTACAACTTTCTTTGTACATTGTTTAACCAAGGATTTGCAAAAAAAATTAACGGCCGCCTCAACACAAAAAAATAACGGATACCAGAAGATTTTTAATTGGAAAAAAGAAAAAAAATTCACTTAAAAATAGATGAATTATTATTTATCACTGAAATTACTGATATCGGTTTTGTTATCAGTTATCATTGCTATCATTGTTATTGATAATATTCATTTATTATCAGCTATAATCCGCTACTCTTAAATGAATTAAATTCGTAAAAATTGACTTCGTAAAAATTTGAAAAAAGTAAAAAAAATTGAAAAATAAAGATTACATTAGAAAAAATAAAATGCACCAATGCCTTAACATTTCAGATTTTTTTCTGTCGTTTTTCCCTAAATTTTTAACGATTCCAAATTATTTTTAGAAAAAAATTGCGAAATTTTCAAAGAACTCCACCCTTTTCAAATAATTCGGAAAAAACAACCACAATAGAAAATCTAATCATTCAACGACCTCGCAAAAAAATCCGACAGTAGCCAGACGATAGCCACAATCACTAATCGTCGGCAAAAATTAAACGTTTTGGTATTAAGGAAAACAACGGAAAATATTGTGAAAAAGCTGCAAATTAGAGTGTCTCGCGACACAGTCAAAAATATCTTTTGCAGCTTAAAATCAACATTTACGTCTTTGCGTTCCGTAATCGTTCCGTCATGTTTCCTTTTGATTTTGCAGTTCATGCACCGAGCACCTCGTGAGTCGTGGTAGGGTGCCTAGCGCAACGAAGAGCAAACTGGATTTTAGAAGAAACGTATGGGGGTGCAACGTAGAGCAGAGGTGATGGCTAGTCTGTAGGCGGAAATACTTAAAGATTTAAGGTGAATGTGCTATTAAAGATACAAAGATGACCTCTGTCAGATGACTAATCGATAAATCTCTTTTATTATGCAATTCTTTATTTGGTGACATCTGTTCAGTGGGGATTTTTTTAAAGTGCCTTCAACATTAGCTTAAACTCGCTGCGCTGGTTTGTTGCATAAATATGCCAGGGAGTCCCTTGGTGATGGAGGTGCGAATGAGTCACCGGATTTTTGGACAGGTTTACTCCGGCGGGGAAGTGGAACCTCAGCGTTCCGAATTGAGTAACCCAAGGAGCCATTCTGTCTCCGATCATTGTCGTTATAATTCAGTTTTTTGTTTCTGATTCAGTAAAAACTTTTGTAAATGTGGCGGTTTACTTTCATTATTTTTCAGCATTGGACCAACTCAACAATTTTTCACAATAATTCAACAAATCCTTGTTCGTCAAAATTTTTCTACATTATAACCGTTCGATTGAATGAATCTTCAACACGGTTATTATCTTCGACGGTTACAAGAGATAAGTAAGTAAGTTTTAACCTCAGCTTTTGTATTTTTTTCGAAAGTTTGATATCTCTTTCAAACAGTTTTGTGCGTCAGCCAAAGCAAAAAATCTACTGAGCCACCATATTTAGTTAACTTCGCCATAGTCAACTTTGAAAAGGCAGTTAACCGTTCTGTTGTTAACTTTTGTTAATTGCTAAATCCTCTACAAAAAGATTAAAAGCATTTCTCCAAATATGTATAAAAATAAGAAAGTAATTGCATTGCCGTGGAAAATGATAAAAAATTTTCTAACATGCCCTGCAGTGCAAAACATCTGCAATAATCCTTTATCGAGGAGGCCCAATGAAAATTTCCAACACCATGTAGATTTTCCGGAGAAATGTGCTGATCAATATATTAATCAGGCGTACAAGGACAGAATTGAGGGAACTCCATTCGTACCAAAAATATTTAAGATGTGGTCATAATGTATACCACTGTGCCCCAAAAATGTTTTTATTCTCGATCGGTTCATCATTTGGCATTCTACACAATCAATGTAAAAGATCATCGAAAAAGCCACTAATAAATAATCACTTACCATAAATAAGCATCACTTTATGCAATTCTACGTTAAACCCTACCTTACTGGAAAAAATGGTCGAAAATTGGCCATGTCATTCATAATCGTAATATATTCAGTGGACGACCGTTTGTAATTTCTGCTGCGCTTTGATTTTCAACATCAATAATCGGTTTTAAATAGTAAATTTTCTGATGCTCCTCTAGTTATTGTTGTCTATTGTTTATTTGATATTTTTCTTCTGAAATCCCTCGAAAGTAAGTGGCATTTATCATTATTTTATTTCTATTTTTATTCTGAAATTTCTATTTTATTTCTATTTTTATTATAGCAAAAAAACTAAAGAATGTTGCAATGTTGACAAGGTAGCACTATTATCGAGGAATTCAGCTGCGTCGATGACAGAGAAATATGAAAAACAACAGGTGATTTGTCAATTGATTAGATCAGTTAATTCTCTGATAATAGCAAATGAAGAGTACAAATCAGAAAATAAATATTTATATGGTATCACTGGAAAAAAACGGTTCAACAATAGACAGTTTCATTAGTAGCAATGTTGAAATATCCGACTGTATTGAAGAATATCATAAAGTCTTATCTTGGTCAATTAATATTCTATAAACTTAACTTCTAACAATAAAAAGAGTCCAATGATAAAGCACTGGTTGAAAGCATTTGATTACAATATTTTAGCAAATATCGATCAAATTAATGAAAATGAAACGCCTCGACGTGCTTGGAAAGGGCTATCCAAACATGGAATATACGGCTCGAAAGTAACCTTGCCACATTAATACTGCCTAAGAGAAATGCGCAATCTGTTGTACTAGAAATTGAAATTGAATATGAGCTAAGATCTCTGTGAAAAATGTTCTTTACATAGTCAATATAAAAAAAGTGTGGTAAGAGACTTTAAAATAATAGATTTGCTGCATTTACGAGAATATTTTAATGCTAATAGCAGCGTGTCAAAATTTCTGTAACCTGGGACTAAATGGAAGCGACAGTGATTGTACACAGTTTTCGTTCGTATCTAATACTAGAAGTTTAAAATTTACATAAATTAGATGATTTAAGATGATTAAATGATAGATGGTAGATGAAGATAATTAGATGATAGACGATTGTTCAGTGATAATCATACCTAGGGTATCTGGTAGAAGAATTTGATATTGTTTCGCATATTAAGTCAATGGCAGCCATAATAATCACGGTATCATGGAAATTTATATAAGTTGATATCAACCTTTCTCAGCTATAGGTACTAGTTTGCAAATATCACATATATCAACATATTGTAAAATCAGAAGTGGCTCAAGGCAACTGTTTTGGGTTTTTGTTCTTTATAATGTGTAATATGATATCACTAATGTCGTATTAAACTATTTACCTCTAAACTTATGATTTTAAAATCTTTTACTTTCAAGGTAGATCGGAATAATCTTCACCGAATTGCTAAATGGTTCAAAGAAAGATAAGTCGCTTCTGAAAATGCAGTGTATTGTTTGTAATTTCGAGAAAGTCCGATCTTTCATTAACCCTGTTTTTTCATATATCAATATTTGCATATTAATATTTCAACAATATTTCGGATCTATGATGTAATTGCAGACGAAAATCTTGATTTTGACCTTCATCATAGCGCAATAATAACGAAGTCTTGAATATTAAATCTTATGTTCCAATCAAAAATAGATGGAAAATATTCCTTATTGAAATGTGTGAAGCGTTTATTCAGCCTTTGGAGTATGAACCTGTGATTCACTAACATATGTCGCAAACAGAATAAACTCGTTGAAAGACTGTTGGACGTTGAGTCAACCCTAGTTATAGCATTAACTATAAGCTGACTTCGGTAAGTTTCTGGTCGCGTCGTCTCCATTTTCTAGCGTTAATTATTCTTGTATTATTCGTTAGGCTTTTTTAAATCCCTTAGAAGATAAAGTTCATTTTGAATTTTACGCATTATTGGCATGTTGGCATATTGTTATTGATAAATATTTTTTCATACTATTTTTTCATAAATTTCAAATGTTAAATATTTGTATGGCTTTATGTTGCGCATTCTTTAGATAAACCCTCAAAATATTCAAGTTATTTCTTTTCAATTTCTTTTTCCTCGCATTTGAAAATTAACATTTCATTTACTACTGGTCAGGAATGAAGAATCTGTAACATTTTTTACTTCTTTTCTACTAATTTCCTTACGTTTAGGCAATTAATGGTGGATTTTTTACGTTCAGTGTTTTCCAAACCTCAGAACTTCATAAAAACGGTAGATTTCACAAAAGGACAAAAACGGTAAATCAGTCTCAGAAGTTCATACGTATTTAAAGTCATTTAAAGCCGTGTTTAGAAAGTCATAAAATTATTAGACAAAACATGGCTTCTGGAAATAGGTTGTGGCGAACATTGGAATGAATTTAATAACAGTAAGTTTAAAGACGAAAATACACTTTTTTCAAATTTTTTCGCCGTTTTTTTGAATGACCTATTTTGTTGGCATAAAGTATGAAGTAATTCACAAGAGTCATCGTCTTCGCTTATTTTTTAATCGCACTTTTTAAATATATATGTATTTCTTGATTCCTTATATGTTTTTTAAACTGTTTATTTAAATGGCATAACCCAAGTCAGATATTCGCAGTGAGATTTTTATAAGGGGAACGCTGGCCGGAGAATATAAAAATCCCGCTTGGCAGGAAGTTTAAATTCTATATAGACTACACTCTGGAGCGGATTCCCGAAACTTAAAGGAAAATATACTATATACTAGAAATAGGAATCGCCGAGATCCACCCAAACGTGTTGTTTTCTGTATTTTCATTTTATAGTTAAGAAGAATTGCGGCAGAAGATGGAGTGTCGACATCAGCAACGAAAATCGATATGTAAATAGAATGAAACTCTTTTCTTATTTGTCAGGTCCTGATAAAATCGCATAAATTTATCAAAGAAGTGTTATATACCTTGGATTTAAATACCTCAGATCCCTCATATCTACTTCTGAGGTGCCTTATTGCCATATAATGCATCTCCTACTGTTTTATCACATATGGTGCCTGCTATAAGCGATTTTGCAGCTAGCATGGCTCTACTCTTCTTTCGTCTGGTCCACCTTTCTGAGATTGCCGCAGAATCAGCTCGGAAATTTGCATCTAGCTGTCTATATCTATCTTGTTATAAGAGTAAAATTTCATTAATGGAGGTGACAGATTTTATGAATTCTCTGTTGCCTAATCCATACTCTGCTCTGGCCGTTGTTGCCTAATCCATACTCGCCAAGTGTACAAGTGGATAGAATCACATTTGCATCCACTTGATCATCGTTGATAATGACGTCATCGTCTGGATTGCAATTGCATCGTCTGGATTGCAATTTAGCCATGTTCGTTGCACATCGCATTTAATTTATGCATATCTCTTTGATGGATGGTGCCAAAAGAGAGGAGAGTGCAGCAAGACATGGGTCGATGCTTTCAGGGGAGAATTTGAACGCATGGGCGATAAAAAAGATGGTTGCAGCTAATTATCGCGAGGTTTGGAATGCCAGTGGAGCGAGCCAATTAGCAATAACAGAAATGAATAAACTAGTTATTGAAATAGCCAAATCACTGAAATCTTCATTCATAAACCATTTAAGGAACTGAAATATATGACGCATAAGATTCGAGGAGCAATCAGAAGCGGTCGGTCTTCGAGTTTTTGTTCTATCTTCTAGGATATTTGTTTCTTCCCTCATGCTTGAGATTATACTGAATAAAAATGCGATCGAACCGTGATTTTTAAGCGAGCGAACAATCGCCAAAGAATATAGGCTCCTTAAAAAAAATTGAGAGGAATCACGAGCAGATGCTAGCATACAAATGTCCTACATACATGGTGACTTTGAATTGCTAATAACTAATAGCAATTTCCAAATGAATGCAGTTATAGAAGCCTATTCGAAGGACTAAATTGAGAAACCATAACCTCTTCATTTGTACTATTTCTACTACTATTATGTTATATGTGCTGACTGGTTTCAAATGGTTTATTGGAGCCAGCTGTCCTGAAATGGTGCAGAAAAAGAGCACGAGCTTTAGACGAGTTTTTTTTATTTTTCATCAATTTTCAGAAAATGATTCTCCTTCTAACTATATGGTTCATTTTCGGCATGGTTTTAACGCAGGTAAAGTAATGTTTTTGCCAGGTGTTATTATATAATTACAGCTGGGCGAGTTAATTCAAAGGTGGGTAACGATAAAGATTTTCGTTTGTATGAAATAATTCGATATTTTTGTGCTTTCCTTAATTTTTATACCGAAAACTTTGTTGTGACCTTGTTGTGATTTTATAAATTTAAGCATAACTATGTTATTACTTTGCTTGATTTAAATAAATGCATGCAGTCAAGTTTTAACGAAAGTAAATGCATATACTATTGCGAAGAGCAAGAATAACAGACAATAACAACTGCAACAGAACCTGTTCTTGAACAATCCAAATCTCTAAAATTATCATTTATCAGTAATGTGATTTATATATCAGCAACAATCAGAGAGGAATTTCACTCAAAGAGGACCAATTCGAATCCCTCAACTGATAGATATTTTATTTCGGATAAAATAAGATTTTTGTGGCTGCATGGCAAATCGCAAAAAGCATGGAGGAAGTTTAAAGCAACCAAACACCCGATGCGACCAAATTTCGCTGGAATGTAGCAGAATTTGCTACGTATGTGTCAACAAATGACCTTTACAAATCAGATAATGAACTGACCATTCATTTCACAATTTTTTAGTATAAACTGATTATTAGAAGTGACCTTAAGGTTTTGAACCCTTTTATAAAGAAATTGTTGTTAATATATTAAAAGAGAGCAGCAGTGATTTGACAAGCTGAAGGATTCAAAGGGATGATTTGGTATGCTAGGAAGGAAAATAGAATGATTCTGCGAAGGCGAAAAAAAGGAATATTAGAAGAATAAAATGAGAGCACATGAAAGGTATATTTTCTTCGTGGAATGAGTCTTTTAACTAGTAAAAATAGTTGAAATATGAGATAGAAGATTCCGAATGATTCATTAAACCAAAATAAGCTAAACCAGAAATAGTGAGGGAAGAAGAATCCATTTTAAACTTCCAAATGTCTATTTTATGGCCAACGTACATACCTTAAGCAAAACTTCCCCTCAAGCAACCTCTTAGACCTATGAACACAGCTGTCATCGAGGCCCCTTTGATGCCACTTGGTCCGAAACGGCTCTCTAGCGGAAGTGTTCCATGCCTGCGGTGTCAGCAAGCCAGACGTTCTTCTCTTGAAGCTTCATAAATTTAATCTCCCGGAAGTTAGAAGGAATAGTGCTGTAGGATAAAAAAAAAGTTTTGAAAGGAAATTACGATTTCTCCCCCTTTTTTCGTAGGGATTTTAATTTTGATTTTGATGGCAGTAATTTCGGTGGAGAGCGATTCAGTTTTTAATTTTGTTTTAGCTTCAAAAATTTAAATTAGTCGAATTTAATTTTATCTGTTCAATGATTTGTTTTGATTTATAAAATTTTGAATAATTTATTTTCAAATTATTTGATTTAAACAATTTAATTTAAATTTAATAAGTTGTTTTATCGTTTTTATATTATTTAATCTATTTTTAATTTATTTAATTTAATTTCGAAACATCCAATTGCATTTTGAATTATTTAATTCGATTTCAAAGTGTTAGTTTAGAAGTTCGAATTATTTGATTCAATTTTCGATTATTCTCAAATTCTTTAATTTAATTAATAGTCCAATTGCGAATTGTTATTTACAAACGGTTTTAGCTCGTTCAACGTTTCGCTTTGTTTTTGCTGTTTTTGAATATTTTAACTTATATTTGAAACTTTTGTTTTAGGATGAATTCGCTTTCAAGTAATTTAAGCGCAACAACAAATGACGAGAAAATAAATTCGATGAGTCGTAAACGACAAGTAATTGTTTTGTTTTTATTTCCTTTAGTTGATTTCACTTTGTTTCTTTCAGGAAGGAAGGTCCGTCTTTTTCATTTTATTTCATTGATTTTCAGAAGTTACTTGAAAGTGTTTTAACGAATGATATGGCACTTGTTATGCGACTTTTAGTTGATAATCGAATCGTGAACGGAAACTGCAATCGTATTGCCTCCTTCTTGCATTATGCATCATATTTTGGATATTATGATATGGCATCGTATTTAATCGATGAAGGAGCTCGATTAGATGCGTATGACAAGTGGAAATTAACCCCACTACATCGGTCAGTTTTCTTCATTTCTTCATTTTTTTTTGAAATTTCTTGTTAGAAGCATAGAAGAGAATAGAATCTGGAAATATTCACTCATTTTGCTGTTTTGCTTTTTATCTCTTCTCTTGCACACTAAGTAGCATCGCTAAGCATAAAGGTTCATCTCTTTGCTTATATTGGTACTTATCGAAACGAAGAACAGTGCAAAAATGGATGGATGGAAGTCAAAAGATCGTTGAAGTGCTATTGCATATTTTGCATCACAAGATAAAATATATAAATTAAAAATGTTAAGCTCAAATCATTGAATATTATATAAAATAATATTTAAAAGTAGGTTTTAAAATCCCTAAATCTTTTTTTGTTGGTAGTCCATCGGTGAACACAATAAAGGTGAGGTATCTCGCAATTAAATAATTGATCTGACTTACTTCCGTTTTTTGTGAGGCTGAACATAGCCATTAGAAATGTAGACATTGAAAGAGACAAGACAGAAATGATCCTTTTTATAACAACTATTCTATTTCTGTACCATAAATCACGAAGGAAATAGACATAGATATTGCTATGTTTCGCTGGAATTGTTCGACCAAGCAAATTTTGACAATGGCTATTTAGCTATATAAATTTAGGTGAATTACCAGTCCGAATTTTTGAAAATCGTAACTTCATTATTGACGTTCTAGATTGAGCAACAATCCACTAAGCCATTTTATTTCCTTTTGCTTTCACCATCTGACGACAAATGAAGTGTCGTTTGTCGACCGGATTCGAAATCATTCGAGAACTTGAACCATTCTCGATTCTCGGTGGCTATCATCTTGCCACTAAACTGTAAGACATTTACTGTAGGAAAGTAATAGCAGAAAATTGTTTTTTTCTTGCACTTTTTCATGAAATAAACTGCCGTCTTCATTACCCAAAAATTCCTTATTAAAAAATATAAAGATATCTTTTAAAAAATATCTTTTTGTTTTTTAAGAAAAATTAAGCCAAACATATTTCTCCCTTATTAATTGATTATTCATTTGCAGTGCTTGTTTAAACAATCAAGCTCAAATAGTAGATTTATTACTTTCATTTGGTGCTAGAGTGACGGCACTAAATGGATTGCTTCTAACTCCTCTTCATATAGCTGCTGCCGTAAATGCTTTAAAGTGTGGTCAGGTTATTGTAAATTATGACCAAGATTCTATAGGTTATATTTTGGATATATTTTTCCTAACTTTATTATTTGTTCATGATATTATCTTATAAAATATATCATTTTAGACTGGACGGATCAGAATGGATGTACACCTTTGCATTACGCTGCTTATCGAGGTCATACAAATTTCGTTTCTATGCTGCTTGAACGAGGTGCCAATATCGAAGCAAGGTTTTTTTTTGTATCTAAATTCATTCTCTTAGCTGTTTTTAATCATTCTTGATTTGAATAAATAAATAATAATTTATTTTTTTCTGGCATGATATGAAATTTTAGGAATAACGCTGGGTTGACTGCTATTGCTTGGGCAACATTAGCAGGAAAAATTGAAGTGATGAACATACTTCGTGGTTTTAAAGCAGATTTTAACTGTCGTGATTCGGACGGAAAGTGTTTATTACATTATGCTGCTGTTTCGGGAAATATGCCAGTTACAACTATGATTTTGGAAAATTCAACTTTACCACTGAATAGCAAGTCCTCGATGGGATATACTCCCCTTTTTTACGCTGTTTTAAATGACCATCATGATTTATTTACAACGTTAGTTATAAATCTCTACTTCTTTTTTTTAAATTTTTGTCATGAATTATTTTTTTATTTATTTTCTTTTTAGTGTATTTAAATTGCTTATATCCACAAAATCTTTCAATGTTAGCGAAACCTTTGGTGACAATCATCTTACACTATTGCATATTTCAGCGGGATTAACGGACGGTACAAAATGTTGCCAAGTATTTTTTGTTTCCAGTTACATTATCCATCATTTTAATTTTTTAAGTCTATGGATGCTTGCATGCATATATCTTCCAAAGCTTGTTGTTAGCAACAAAATCATTCTCTCGCCTATTAATATCCTCGAAATTTCACTCCTCTTTAACCTTGATAAATTATTCTTAGTAATGTTGCATTGCACAGCCACAGAAATTATCCCTTTATACTTCCTTGACTTTGCCAGAATCTAAATTCCTTTAAAACCCTCGGTCTAACAAATTTTATAAATTCTACAAATTTTCTTTTTTTCAAGTCAATAATGCACTTCACTGTTTTTGATTAGGCTAACTCTGCTTCCTATTGGAATCACAGTAGTTGGATCGAGAGCACCACTCGGAGTCTTTTAAGTTCTCTATTATCACCATTCTTAAAATTCTGTAAATTCTTCAGGCTGCATTATAGCACTTCATCATTGTCTTAGACCTTGTCATATGGTTGATTTCATAAAGCTTGACCGAAATGATTTAAACAATTTTTTTTTTTGCTGTTTGTATTTTCATGATTTATTCTTACTCCAAAATCCAATTTTTTTCACTTCACTTTCACTTTTTCTGCTTCTTATTACGATGTGTTTTCAGTTTTTTCTTAGCTTTTATTTGATAATTTCAGTTGCAAACATATAGGAATTGGAATACTTCTAGTGTAACCTTATTTATCAGTAGAAAAAAATGACCAATTGCGAGAATATTACGACCAATTGCGGATTTGTTGAGAGGGATTAAAAGATATTAATGAATATTAATGGGGATTTGGCAAAAAAAGAAATATTGTAGGATTGGGTGAGGTGTGTAGTTCATTGAATATAATGAGAATATATGAGGTTATTTTAAGGAATATCCTTGTTGTTGAGGCCATGATGGCCATCATGATGGCCATGGCCTATTCAATTTTTTATCTGAAAATATCTTAAATATAGAATTCTGCACCTGCTTATCGCGCAATATTCTAATCTTTAATGGAATAAAAATATTTTTTAAAAATATATTAAAAATTTCTTTCTAAATCTTAAATTTTAATGAAATTAAAATTAACATTTTTCGTTAACACTTTTTTTTCCTTTAAGGCTATCGTAGAATCGATCAGTTTTCTTGATGATATCACAACTGATGGATATACAGCATTACATTTGGCATGTATTTTTGGACGAATAATGCGTGCCAAGTTGTTAATTGATAGGGGTGCAAACGTTAATGCCAAAACCAATAGTGGCTTTACACCTTTACATATTGCTATACAAAATTGTTTGGATATCGTCGTTAAACATCTTATTGAAGCCAATGCGGATGTTAATATGTAAGTTTTTAGGAACAAGATTTTAATTTTAATTCTGCGTACAAGATTTTAATTTTAATTCTGCGTATAATACAATGGATTTGTAAATATCCTTCTGTTAAATGTCTATGTTCAGATATCTTTTTAGAATGACACAAAGTGGATATAATGGAATGCATATCGCTGCTTTCTATGGAATGATCGAAATTGTTCGCATTTTAGATAAAAATGGCCTGTCCGCAATGCAAAAATCTAAAAACGGATTGAATGCACTTCATCTTGCATCTCAATCATATATGCAAAAATGGTATTTTTTCTTATTTGTTTTTAGTTTTCTCGACCTTTTTAAATACAATTATTAATTTTTATTAAATTAATTAGGTTTAGACCGATAGTATTAGATAGTATTGTTCTGTTATTCTATTCTTCTGTATGGCTAACTCCACTGAACATTTTAACGTAAAATTACTTGTGGAGAGAGTTTTCAGCATCTAGATTTCACTTTAATAATTCGCTTCTTTGCTTCTTTATTTTAATCAAGGGATTTGCTTGATTTTATCAGAAATAATATACTTAATCATCAGCTCTCCCCTTCCCCACCTTTCTCCCGTGATATATTTCATTTTTTTACGTTCAATCTTGAATTTTAAGTCAAATTTTATTTTCGAAATATGAATTGTTTCAATGCATTCACCTGGCGCCTGGCCGTCTATGACTATTTCGAGAAATTTTTGCAGGGGAGTCATTTGGCAATAGAAGTACGAATAGGAACCGGATTTTTTAATGATGTTTTCTCCTGTGAGGGTAGAGATAGACAGAAGTCGACACCCCGGTTACTCGAATAATTTTTCTCTCTAACTCTTCTAACTTAATTTTTAATTAATATCGGGATTTGTGAAAATTTTCGATCAGTTTTAAAACAATTTTGAGAAATATATTTCAAAATTTCATATTATTTCTACATAGAAATTTTTCCTTGAATTTAAAATTTTCTCAGCTGTTTTGTGGTTGATTATCTTCTTTCAATTGGCACTCCAACATGCGAATTGGATGATTCGGGCAATACAGCACTCCATTATGCTGCAAATGCAGGTTCAGTAACCATTGTCCACAGTTTACTTCGCGCTGGTGCAAATATCAATATTTTAAATAAATTGCAACAAAACGCTCTTCATATTGTTTCTCAAAATAGTGGTGATAATTTTTTCGAGGTGAGCGCTCTTGTTTGTACGGTTATTCTTGCATTCATTCTTAACTGTCAGTTTTAATTACGCCACCACAAGTGTTGACGTATATTTCGTTGCTTGCTAAACCATTTGATGGATGGCGTCAAAATCGAGGTGGGCCAATCAAGACCAGGACTGATACGGTCAGAAAAAATTTAGACCGCACCGCTTGGAAGCGTCCCTTGTAGACATTGGAGCCAGCCTAACCAGTAATGGTGAGAGCTGTTAGAAGAAGGAGAATTTTAACGACGCAAATTGTAATTTTAATGATAGAAATTCAAAAATCATTTAACCTTTAGTGTGCAAAATTATTGGTTGATTCCGATGATACATGTGTTGTCGTTCGTGATATTCGTGGTTTTCTTCCTGTGCATTATGCTGTGTACAATAATAACATTGAATTAACGCGTATAGTATGTTTTTTAGCAATTTTTTTCGATTCTTTGCATTCATCTAAAGAAAAATGACGATGAGAGAATAATGGCGTAAAATATTTAAAATACTAAGATCGAACTTAAAGGGAATTTATGGTTTATTTTATTGCCATTTTATTCTAGTTATTTTTACTTTTTCCACTAATTTTTACTCATTTCAGTTAATTAATAAGCAGCCTAGTGCTAATGTACTGTCATCGTTAGAACCTCATCATCTCACATTATATCATATTGCTGCTGGTTCAAAAAATGCGCAGTTGCTACAAAAATTATTGGTACATTATCAATCGCTAATAGCTGACAGTAATAGCGATGAAAAAGTGGGGCTTGAACGCGATGCAAAAGGTCGAATACCATTGCATTACGCTATGCATTCAGGTTATTATTTAATGTCACTATTTACATTTACCCTAAATTTATGTATCGTGTGGACTACAGAAAATACTTCATTATTTAAAACCATCGAAAGCGATTTTTGTTTATAAATTATAGTTTTATATTTTTCTACTCTTTTTTCCCTTCATTTATTATTCTTCTCCATTACCGTAATATTTTCTCGCCCTTATAAACTTTTTAAACTTTTCCCTACTATTTTAAATTCTTTTATACTTAGTTTCTTTCTTTTTATGTTGCCTTCTATAAGAATTCCTCCATTTATAATTCTAAATGTAGTACAAATAAATATCAAAAATTTATTATAACAAAAATTTGTGTCAATGATTGAATGATTTAAGAAAAATCTTATTGGTCGAAATAATCGAAACGCACTTTTGTATTATTTTAAGGAAATATTAATTGTGTGCAAGTTCTTTTACAAGTGGTTGGGCATAAAGCATTGCTGATAAAAGATATAGAAGGTTTGACACCGTTACATGCAGCTGCTGCAAAAGGACATTATAAATGCATCAGTATTGCTAATAGTGTTTTAAGTAAACAGGAAATGCAGTCTTATGATAATCTTCATAGGTTATTTATACTGATAATTTAATTTTAATTAATCGTGAACAGCCAATTTAAAAATTAAAAAATAAGTAATTTGTAGATAATTAAATTATTTAAATCATAATTAATAAATAATTTAAATCATCGGAAAGTCGTTATTATTCATTTTGGTGCATAATTTTATTCTTTTTGTTCTTTGTGCTGTCTTTATCCTTTCTTCATTAAGGACACCACAGATGATAGCTGTGTCAAACGGGCATTATGAATTTGCATTTGCGGAATCAAATGGTTTCACTGAAGATTTTTCGCATCTCGACAAAAATTCACGAGGAATTATTCATCGGGCAGCTTTTCAACTTGATTCATTTTTGACCACTATTAATGATGATAAATTCTCCAATGTTCCTGACTGTAATGGCGTTACTCCTTTGCATATTGCTGCTGCAGTTGGTTCGTTATTCTGTATTCTTGCTGAAATTTTATTGATATTTTGAGGTGATCATACCTGTTAACTTTAAATGAAAAAGTCATTTTGATCCAAGTCATTTTAGGTAATTCCAAAGTTGTTGGTCATTTATTATCCTTGCATGCTAAAGAAACAAAAAATAATCAGGGATTAACTCCTGTGGACTGGGCAGCTGGACGAAATCAGTGTACCACTTTAAGATTATTGTTGAGATCTTTACCTAGACAAAATCGTTTTAATGCGTTACTTTTGGCTATTGAACAAGGCCATCTTGATTGTTGCAAGGTGCATATTGCTAATTTCGTTTTTCAAATTTTATCTTCTTTTCTTTTCGTACTATCGAGTTGAAAAAATAGAAAGAAGGCTTCCTCAGATAGATATAACTTTTCAAATATTGTCAGTGATAAATTGAGATTATTTGCTTGGAATTAGAATGACTTGGCTTCAACTCCTGACTTTTGATAGTAATAAACTTTTTAAAATAAAATCAGGATGACTTTTTGGGTTCAGTTGTGTCTTAAATAATTAAGTGGTTCAATTAGTGGGACGAGGCAAATCAAAAGTACATATTATTAGATTTTTGTTGGTAAAAATCATTGTAGCATCATTATTTAAATGCTATTTTCAGATATTGCTACAGTATGATCCAAATTATTTATTGTGCGTTGGTCGTCTTAATCGAACTCCTTTACATTTTGCTGTATATTATGGTCATCTTAAAATTATTGAATATCTTCTCCAGAGAAATATTAGTTTATCAGCTGTAGATAGTTCTGGATTAACACCTTTAATGACGGCAGCTATATCTTGCCATGTTAATGCTCCTAGAATAATTGGTATTTTTTCAATGAGAAATATTTTTTATGCCTTTGTGCCTTCGGCAATTTTATATCTTATGGCCAGTTCCTTGATTTTTAATTTTATGATCAATTACTTCATTTCTTCAATATCTATCTTTTGAAATTCTTAATTTACAGATATTTTAATGGAGGCGGGTTCATCTTTTTCTGGTACTGATATTAGTGGCAACAATGTATATCATCTAGCTTGTATGGCTAATACTCCAGACAATATGTTACATCTTTTAAAATACACACCTCAGTTGGTCGATGGTCAACATGAAGGACACTTGATTAATAGTGTAAATTGTAAGAAAGAGACGTATGTTTATTTAATCTATTTCAGCTAGTTGGTATTTTTAAAACCATACTTAACTTCTATTTCCTTGCTCTCAGGAATATTTTTTGGTAAATTTAGGCCATTACACCTGGCATGCAATGCAGGATGGTTGTCCGTTGTGGTAAAACTGATGAGTTTATCGACTTGTGCGATTAATATGAAAGTAAGCCCATTATTCATCAAAAATTCAAATATATTTTATTTATACTTTATTTTAATATTTAAGATATATGTAATCTGCTAAAAATATTTCGTGCTTAAGGTTTTCCTTGTAATAATTTGAAAAATTCTGCTAAGATTCCATTTAAGCATGCTTATGGTAAATTTAGATGTTATTGATGATTTTAGTTTCTTGAATCGTCCGATAAATATGAAGAATTTTTTAAAGCACCTCAATAATATTCGTTAATATTAAGGATGAAAAGGGACGAAGTCCTTTGCAAGAAGTTGATGGCGATAGTAAAGCGGTTTTTAAATGCAGATCTTTTCTCGTAGATTTCGTTTTAAAAAATTTCTCAAATGGTTCTTTACCATGTAATTTTATATCTTCATTTCTTTTCATTTTTATTCGAAGATTTTAAAAATTCTAAATACAAATTTTAAGTGTTTCTGGAAAATATTTAAACTTTTGATTAAATATTATAGTTAATATTATTTTAATTAAATATTAATATTATATAATATTAAGTAAAGAATTAATTTCATCTAACAAAGGAAAATTTTTTTCCGTTCTCTACCTTAAGAATTAGTAATGAGGCTTACAGATCGATATCAACCAAGTACTCATACGGGTTATTCGAGTTCTAACTCTTCATCATCGAGTCTGGAGTTTTATTAAAGTTTTATTTGGACTTTTATTATATGAACTACCTTTGATTTTTATTATTGGTGTTATTTTTCTCTAGTATATTATAGTTATATTATAGTTTTCGTATGACTGATATCATTTTTGATATCATTTTAATCTTTAATGTTTTTTTGTGATTACATCTTTTCTTATGATCTGTTCAATTTGATCTTGGTTTTTTAAATATTTTTTTCGTTCTTCATTATTTTTTTTGTCGAGAAAGAAATTTGCAGAAATGGTGCATAGCGAAAATATCAGTTAATTTTCATAAATTTCTTATTGAAAAATTGGGCAAAAACTATACAACTGATGGGATATAAAATATAAAATGAAATTCAATGAATTAAAATTTTTTTGTAGCACCATTTGTTGTTAACCTAACTACTAGAACTAATTACTACTGTTTATTGACTACTGTTTGTTGAAATGGAGCATTCAGACGTTATCGATATTTTCGCCAGAATTGCTTGGAAATAACTATACAGATAAAGCGGGTTTACAGTGGCCGCAACCCAAGTTTCTTTCGTTTTCTTTTATCATTCTAAGTTATCGATATTTTCGCCAGAATTGCTTGGAAATAACTATACAGATAAAGCGGGTTTACAGTGGCCGCAACCCAAGTTTCTTTCGTTTTCTTTTATTATTCTAAGATTATTATTTGAGAAAAAAAGGTTTTTTGGATCTTAACAGCGTATTGCTTTTTCTTTATTACATAATTTATTGTTTTTCATTTTTATTTCCATATATCAGTAATTCAATTTGGCCTTAGATCGCCGACGGGTTAGAAATATTTTGTTTTTTTTTTGCTTATTTAATGCTTTATTGTGAATGGTCTGAAATAGATTCGTTGATTGTAGTTTTTCTATGAAATGAAATAATTCACATATTTCTAATTTATGTTAATTATCCTTGCTACCTCTGTTTTAAATCTACTTAAGTTTTGATTTCCGATTTCTGGTTGGGAATTAAAGTTTTATGTTATTTGCTAATTTTTTTTTGTATTTACGCCTTTTTAGTAGATGATTATAATCGAAATATAATTAAAAAATTTTTTGGCCTTGATGGATTGCGAAGAATAATTGAATTGAATAATTAATAATTATCATTGGCTGAATATTTCTTCTAATTTTCTCAAATATTTTTTTATACAATGGAATTTCTGTTGGTGTGTAAGCATTCATATTATATGAAATAATGTCTTTGTTTTTGCCTTAAACTTGGGACAACTTACCCTCAAAATTAATTTCAATAAAGTTAACTTCCTCGCGGAGTTGATTTATAGAAAAAGGTTTTGAGGCATGTTGTAAATTCTTCTCACATTTCGCAATGCTGGTCTCGCTGGTTGCACCTCTGCATTGCCGTAGGTAAAAGTGAAGCTAATCCTTCACTTGTAACGCTGTACCACTTATGTATTCAAAATTTCCCAATTTTGGGAAAATTAAAAATGAACGTATATTGGGTAAAATTTTCGGCTCCGTTCCTCTTAAAAATTTTCTTGAAAAGTTTTGAGTATTTGGGGCAGAAATATGAAGAAAATTAAATATATAAAACAAATAAAAACTATAGATTTCAATTATAATCCCAAAGAAACCGGAATCTATTTTTGTAATAGTATAGACTCACACCATCACAAAACCTCTTCAAAAAATTTTTCATGTGTATTGTGCTGGTGAGGTGAAGAACCAGTAATGCCGAGATTGATTTGGAAGAAAAATTTTTTAGGTATAGAGACTTTGATGTATGGCAGAAAGGAGAGTTGTTTCAGGAAATAGTATCGTATCCATAGGCCTGTATAGATGTACATTATGCTGCATATAAAGATTCATGTAGAAGATGTTTGTTTGTTTTTGTGCTGACATACCAGAGCCCTCAACCTCCCCAGACTTCTGGTGGAGGACCCGAGGTTGAGGGTGAACATGATCACCTATGAAGGCGAGAAAAAAGTTTTTTGTCTGTAAAAATTTTTCATAGATGTCAAAAAAAGAACAAACGGACTAGACAAATACCAAATCCTTGCAAAAAATCATAAAAGAATAGACTTAAGAGAAAGGATGATAATTATACTTCAAAACACTAAAAATCTGGCAAAACTAAATTGATTTTCAATTTATACTAAAAGCGTAAAAATACAAAAATTTAAATAAATAACGCTGAAAAAGAAATCAAAATAATTGAAGGATTAAATTAAGAATTCAATAAAAAAAACACTAAAAGTCATATAAGATTGCTCAACAGGAGACAGAAAAAAGGAAAACAGGAAACAGGAATGGAAAACAGGATGGCCGAGTGGCATGGCACTTCGGCTAGAGACAAGTCATTGCAGATTCGATTCTTACGTCACAACGGGAGAAAATAGACCCATGTTGCTGCGAAAGAAATCGACATGAGTGACACTATGGGCCCATCCGTATCGGCAAGTAACACTATAGGTTCTTAGCCGCAAGTGTGGAACCAGAGAAAAAACCGTATCATTTTTGACAAAAATGCATGCAGTGCAAATATAGGGAGTTCGAAGGTCGAGTGGTCATTGTCCAGAATGCTGCATCGAAGAAGAAGCCTTGAACTCCCCATTAAGATACATTACTAAAAAGATCTGCTTGTGCTGGGAGCCCATTTATATTTTCATTCCCAAGCGTTCTTTCGGCAAATGATTTCAAGCTAAAAGTTAAGTATTGACAGACAGTGAAATGTATTTATCTTAAAGTTTAACCTGAGGTTCTTTAATATACTTATCTTAAAGTTTAACCTGAGGTTCTTTAATATACTTATCTTGAAATTTAATCTGAGCTTCTTTAAGATACTTATCTTAAGGTTCAATCTTAAAGCCTTAACTTATTTTAGTTGCTCTTTTACAGCAAATATGGCTATTTTATGCAAAATGATTTGTGAATTCGTGAATGATTTGTTTGTAATTTTCGCTAACTTCAAACAAATTTTAGCTTTTTAACTTTTTAAGCAAAAACAAAAATAATTAAAATTTAAATAAAAATAAACAAAACAAACAAAAACAAAATTTATAAACAATATTCTTACCAATTTTTGTGGATTAATTCAAATTTTAAAATGAAAATTTTTTCAGCATTTTTCATGAATAAAAAAATCTTGAACATTGATTTTTTTTGCACAATTTCATAGCCTTTTGTAAATTTTTTGATAAACGAAAATAGGGATTTGTAGTAATAATTTTATAGTTGACGCATATTTCGTTATTTGCTACACCGTGTGACGGTTAGCGAGGTGGGCCAATCAAGACCTGGACTGATACGGTCAGGAAAGATTTTGAACGTATAGGTGGACCAGCAATATATGGACTTAGACAGTGGAAAAAGGAATGGCTTCTATTACTGTCGACGATAGCCTCTGAGCGCGCCGCTTGGAAGCGTCTTACCCTTATAGCCGTTGGAGCCAGCCTAACCAGTAATGGTGAGAGCTGTTAGAAGAAGAAGAGTAATTTTATAAAATACAACGAGATTTCGTAATATTTGCACGCATTTTCGTAAGGTTTATAGCCAATTTCGTATTTGTTGCAGCACTTATTCACTTGCAATGCATTAGCAATTGGCCAGAACAGGCTAAAATTAATTCCAAAATATATTTTAAATGCCCTTCAGAGATCCAATTATCTCGTCCAACTCTAAAGTTTGTCTTTGCGTCAAACCTTTTCTGCATTATTAACGACCTTCTGTGAACCTCCTCGCCATCCCTTTTGAAACAGTATCGCTAAAGTAGTGCAATCTTCTTACTTGCATATCATCACCTAACTTCCGTCCTAATGTCCATTTTATCACTTCGAATCGCGTTGTACTTTTCTATTAACCCGAAAATAACGTTAAATTTCTCACACTATTTCATCAGATCGGCTGTGGCCCTCCAGTACACTGCCAAACCGCGCTATTCTATTATATCTTGCTAATACTACTTCGTAAAAAGTTGAATCTCCTTCTCGTCTCTAAACCCTATAAAATTCCATTCAAAACCCCATCTAGATCCCGTCAAAAATCCTCGACACCCAACATAAGTCTCTGTGCTCCCTTGTTCAGTCCATTAGTAATATCATTATAATTCTCTTCCTGTCATTTTTGCCCTCTTAAACTCAATTTCAGACGCTTAACATAGCATTCATTACCTGTCTTATTTCTTTTTTTCTATTTCTTTTATTTTTTTCATTCTAAAATTTTTGCAATAAAAAAATCTCATTTGAATCGTAAATATGCAAAAATAGAAATAAAACAGTCGCAATTTAAAAAAATCTCCCAGTTTATTTGTTAAATTTTTATTTAAATTTAAATTCTTTTTTATTTCGGACGATTTTTTTATTCACCATTCGCCATTAATTTTTGAGCTAAATTCACCAATCACTATTTTTGAAGTGAAATTTCGGAATGCGAATTTCATGTTACAGAAGAAAAACGGAAAATTCGAAGAATTTCGTTGATAGCGACAAAGAAGTGTTTATGGGATTGAAAAAACTCGTAGTAAATTAAAGAAAATTGGAAAAATAGAGCGAAAAGTTTAAAATTATTCTTCCACTTCTAATAGCATTCATTCATCATTTCTGGGTTGGCTAGCTGGACTAATTGTCAGGATGAGGCCACTTCGCCAAATTCACCTGCGAAATAAAGTTGCGGTCAGTACGCCAGTCAAAGATATGAGTGAGATTGGTATGACATTAGTTCAGTCTTAGTCGAAGAAATATACCACTCCAGCATTCTTCAACGATTTCTTTTTACGAGATTTTTCGCAAAGAAATATATTTTTTAATTTTCATTGAAGAGAACACTCGAAACTCTAAGTTTCACCAAAGTTTTCGTGAATTTTTCGATGAAAACACGATCATTTTAATCATCGCGAATAGCTTTTATTTGAACCATAAATAGAGTTGCTGCGAGAAATTTTCAAACTTCATTTTCGACGGAATAACCATTTTTATTAATTTAAATTAACTTCATTTTTATGAATTACATATGAAATCTGTGATTTGTATGCGTTTCGATTTGGTCACAAAAAATTAATAAACTATTTTGCAATAAACTATTGTTGGAGGCCCCAATAAATAATGTTGGGCAAATCTCCGAAACAAATCTTAGCATTATGCCTATTCTTAATTTTTTATAATTTTTTCATAGATTTCATCTTCGTCTATCATCTAAAAGCTAAATTCTAAAAGCCGCCAAGGCTAAAAATGTACAAAAATTATACAGCAGTAAGAGAAATATATCAAAAACAAAATTGGAATTTGGCAAAAAAACCATAATTATATTACTGATAACTTGATAAAAATAAAGTTACTGCAATATTATCAGTATGACATTAAAAAAATCAAAAAATGGTAGAAATTTCCCATAGTTGTAAGTAATTTGACTAGTTTTAGGCACCACACAATACAATAATTATGAAAAAAACCATATAAATTATTATTATAATTAATATTAATAAAATAAATACGATTTATAAATTATTATTAATATATCAAAACCTTTCCATCAAAGTGTTTGAATATTCTATGCTATCCATTTTTTTCACCTCTGGTGACGAATCACGTCTAAAGCTACAAGAGTACTCGTCAATGTTGCACGATAAAAATGTCTGTAATGTATAAATCGATGCAGACTGGAGATAGCATAAGACCACCCCGACTATGATGCTTAAGAATCCTGAAATTATGAATTAAAGTCAATTTTATCGATCTTAAATTAACTGAAATCATGAGTGCGGAAAATGACAAAAACTAGCTGTAAAATTAAGAGAAATGGCTCACCTGCGAGGAAAGTCATATAGAAACAAAACGACAATCGAAAATCGAGAATAGCTAAAGAGCCATCGGGCGACGGAAATGGTATATGTAAATGTTTTGGTACAAAAATTATATATACGATGTCCGATGACAAAATGAGAACACCAACGGATAAAACAAGTTTGCAGAAGTGATGTGGCACGAGGCAGAGGATAACCATTTTAATAATCCAAACAATAAATGAAGTCCTGAAAATAAAAAATACAGCAAAAGGAATCAGGCTTCAAATTCCAATTTTTTATTTCATTTTTTGTATTTTCCTTCAAATTTGTTTGCTATTTTCCGGTGAAAGAAAAATGTTAGCGATTAGTCACCAGAACTTACCATTTCTAATTAAAATCACTTCTCTGGTTATTATTAGGATCAAACATTTTTGCCAGGAAATTAATGTTTGATGACGACAATAAAGATGAGCTTTTTAGCATCATCTAGATCTTTCCAGAATAGCTTTGGTCTTTCAGTTTAATCTTTGAGGTAATGGCCAAGCCATGACGCTTGAAATGATAATCTAAGCCATTAGTATTCAAATTTCATTCTAAGGATTCTCACATCGAAAATATTGATGATTTCGTAAGAACTTTTATTTATGTGGAGTATATTTTTGGATATCAACCGTAGAAATTAATAAATCGAGAAATATATTACTATTAAATTATTAAATAATAGGGAGAATATTTTTGGTCTCAGTAAACTCTCTAAAGAACTCTCAACCAATGTTCAGCGGCGGTCCCATTATAAAACCAACGAATACGTAATATATCAACCCGCCATAACGTTTTTGAGGAAAATATAGAAATTGAAATATTAACGTAAATATTAAAATATATTTATGTATTCATTAAAAATACATTTAAAAAAACATTAATAATATCAATAATATATTAATAATATATATAATAATATATTAATAATAAAAATATGTTCAAAAATATATTAAAAATTTTTTAAATTAAACATATATATATGCAATGTTTTTTGTTGGTTATATTTAAATATTTATATATTTGCATATATAAAAAAAATTTCTAAATAAAATCAAAACTCAGTACAGTAAATAATCTTAATTACTGTTATTTATTATTATTAATTTTCATTAATTATTATGACTATTAATTATTTATTAATTTTCATTAATTATTATGACTATTAATTATTATTATTGTAAATTTTTATATTGTTATTATTATCATTTATCATTATAAACATTATCATAACATTTTTGATTAGTCTCTGGCTTGTCCAGACAAATTTTAACTGGGAATTTTATCATTTAGAGATAAAAGGATAAAAAAGAAAATAACCATAGTAGGCACAGTGTGTAATATCCAGCAAGGCGATATTGACGTCCCCAAGTAAAACCAGCTCGATCAACACTTAAATATTCGATGACTTTAATGATTGGATATGGTAAACCCTTTTGTAGGCTCTTCATGAGTTCTTTTTCCATTGAATACACTGTATAACAGTTTATCAGAGACGAATTAGATAAATATTCATTATCATAAATTTCTTCATCTGACAAATGCACCGTTTTTTTGGCGAACTCAATTAGTATGATGATTATTATTTAAAATATAGACCCTTCGGTGACTTTAAGGGACCACCTTAATTTCACTTATAATGGCACGTTTATTTCTGTCGAATGAGTCTTTATTTACTTTTCCTCAGCCAATAATTCTATTCAACCACCGAGCATCTATATGGAATATTTGGAGCAACAGAATTTCAATATGGCTATAACTTTTTTGGTCGAACCACCCCAATCTTTAATTAATATTCGAGCATTCAAAAAAATGAATAAAATAACTAAAATGAATAACAAACCGTTGAGAAATTCGAATCGTTCGTTGTATTCCAAATCGTTTAATAACGATCTTTTATGCATATCGTTTGCAGGCGAAGTTGATGATTTGCCTGCAAGCAAAATTAGAGAAAACTTTACTTCATTTTTTTCAAAAAATAAAAAGTAAATTTGCTAATTTCTCGGATCGAACTGTATTGAAATTCAAGCTTACTTTTTAATGTGACATTCATATGCTCAAGTCCCATTCGAACTCCCAAAATCGCATCCATTTTCTCAACTGTAAATGCCTTATAGGCCGTATAAATTCGAACCTCACCCTTATGCCAGCATGGATAATAAATTGATACTGAAAAATTAAAATAGAGAATAAGTCACTTAAAGAAAAACCTCCAGAAGTCACTAAAATTTCCATTTACTTATCCTTCTAACAGCCCTCACCAGTACTGGTTAGGCTGGCTCCGCTGGCTTCAAGGGTAAGGCGTCTCCAAGCTGTTTGGTCCTATGTCATCACAGTGTTTATTTTTAGAATTTATAAAAATGCTAGGATATTGTGATGAAATATTTTACTGGAAAAACTGATTAAAACTATTGTTTCATCTTTTAAAATATTTCTTATTTCTTTGAAGAGAAGAAAAAGTGCAAATAATACCAAAAATGAAATGCAGGTGCGGATTTGACTCTTAAATGACATATGCTCATTAAGAAACAGGAGTTAAGCCTCTACTGTTTACTGCATATTTCGCAAATTACCTGACTTAATATTAAAGATCTTAATATTTTGCTTATTAATAACCTATTTGCTAACTTTCATATTTATTTATTTAACTTTCGTAATTTTTAATTTAGTTTCCACTCGTGGTTTCATTCCATTTTCCTTTCCTTTTATCTCAAACAAATAACTAGAAATAATAATAAATAATACTAAATATTTTTTATTAATTGTTAAATAAATGATGTAATAATAATAAATTTTTCAATTTCATTTTCTTAATAATCTAAGATATATAATATAAAATAAATATATAAAATAAAAAATATAATATAGAAGTAAAAAATATTTTAAAAAATATCTGGATAAATATCGCTTACTATTCTTAACATTTTTTAGTAAAATATTTGTAAATTATAAGGACTGTAGGACTTTGATGAATCATTGAAAAAACCTTTTCATTCTTCCGAAAATTCGTACCATTTCTGGTTTGGTTTCTGGTTGCTGCAATTATTGCAACCTAAGGTGTTACTAGAATGACGCGCTTATATGGTCTTTCCGCTAAAGTCACTTATAGATAGAAGTATGAGTATCTGCCATCTGAATTTGACTTATAATAATAGATTCATTCAAAAAATTATCAATAGTAGGTTGATAGCCGAATTGATTATGACGTAAACAAGATATTACCATGGCCGCTTATATGGGTATCAAATATGGAATCGATGCACCAATTGAAAGCGCCTTTTTCATTTGACTAAGAAACACAGATAACACCGATATTTTATCACTGCATGTTTTCTGGCACCACAGTGATAAGTAACAAAATAGCCAGATGGATTAATCAATCGCAGCAGGCCTCTAATGCATTAGTTCAATTATAATGATGCTAAGACCGACAACCTTAATGAATTGGAAAGAGATTCGAGCCAAGATCAGCATTAAAATTCTTAAACATATTTTTAAATCTTTCTGTACAAACACCTCAACATGCGAACATTGCCTATGTTATTAATGTCGCCACCGTTCTTCGCTCACCGCAAGAATCAAAGCGAGATGTCTGAATTCTATGATGGATCGTGTCAAAAGCGAGAAGAGCAATCAAAAACGTGAATTATCAGAGAGGATTTCAAACATATACGCGAATTTTTGAAAAAAATTTCACTCGAAAATTTTCAAAATATTTCATTTTTTATTTTTTAAAAACAATTATAATTTGAAAATTTCATTTATTTTCATTTAATGCTGATGAACATTGAAAGGAATTTTTTTTCACTATTGAAACTAACAAAAAAATTACTATTTTTCAAGTAAAATTTTTAAAAATAATTGAAAGAGTGCGAAATTCCCATTCATTTAAAATATAATTTTGCGTAATAAATTTTCATCAAAATTTTTCATTTCAAGTACGTTTTCAATTGAATAGGAAATTTTCATTTTCCTTCCCTTTTCCTAAAATTAAAATTTATAATAGTTAATGCAAATTAAATAAAATCAATCTCTTGAAATTGGAAAATTTTTTAAAATATTTTTTTAAGTTAAATTTTTTGATTTCTAAATTCAGAAATTTCTAAAAATAGTTTAAGAAACTCTCTTAAAATTTCCGAGATTATCATTTTTTTTAATTCCTAAATTTTAAAATGTCCAAGAATAGTTTTTTTTGAAAATTTTAACAATTTTATCGTGAATTTTTTCAAAATTTCTAACTTTTAAAGTTTCTAAAAATAGTTTTTTATAATTTTAAAATTTCTAGGATTAGTTTAATTCAAGAGCAAGGATTTTTAATATAATAGATACGGGGATCGAAGGAAATCGAAAGGTCGATGAATAACTTAGATACATATATAGCTATTAAGATACATATATTACTTTATAAAAAAAAGCTAAAAATCCTAGAGCAATCGATTGAAAAAAATTTATAGGGGTTCGATACACGGAAAAACCCCTGCACCAGCTAAATAATTGAAAAATTCATTTCTTAATGAAATTTTCACTTTTTTTTGAATAAGGCGAAAGTTTCGGCGAAACTGTCAAATCAAATTAGGGTTTTTTGTATAAAATTCATAAAATAAATAAAAATTCGGTAAAATCCGAAAAAAACAAAATTAACTTTCTTTTTTTTATAAACTTTTATAAACTTTTATACTTTAAACTTTTAACTTTTTTTATAAACTTTTATAAATTTTTGTTACATTTTATATTTTTAGTTATATTTTTATAAAAATAAATGAAAAAGAGACAAAAATTTTCTAATCCGAAACCATCTAATTAATAGGCCAATTTTCCTAAATTTTTTAAAGATATAATTCCGTAAATTCTTTAGTTTTTGCAAATTTTGCTTTTAAAACAAGAAAATCAAAACAAGAAAATGCCTTAAAAATTGAAGAATGATAAAAATTTGCAATGGAAAAAGTCATTTAGAAAACGAAAAAATGAAAATTTTTTTCTTTTTTTCGAATTTAAATGCAGTTTAACGAGTTGATTTACTGATAAACTCGTTCCCATTTTTTTTTCAAATCAAAACTATATCACTCGTCAAATCGCAATTATTTTTGATAAAAATAAGAAGCAATCAGCTTTGTTTATTATCAGTGATAATCATCGGAACTCTAGATGTTATATTTTAATATTGTTACTATTGTTATGTTTTAATAATTTATAAATTATTTATTATTATTTTATAAATTATTGTTGAGACGAAAAAATGATCAGAAAAAAAGAGGAAAATGTTGATTATTGTTGATTGATATACTGAAATGTTGATTATTGTTGATTGATATACTGTTGTTCTTTTTTTTGTTCGCCATTTTCACTACACATAACTTCACCATTTACCATTTATATAAAATTCACCATTTATATAAAATTATAGTTTGTAAATTATAGTCTGAGTGCTAGAACGAGATTCCTTTACCAGAAACTCGATTTGCAGATTCAAAAATACAAGTAGAACCAAGCAACTTTTATTTTTATTGACAAGCTGGTTCATATCAAGGTGTGCATGTTGCTTGAACGAAGCAATATGTCACTTGATCAGCTCGCCTTGTGGTGAAAATATTATGCACTGTCATAATAAGATTACGCATGAAAGTCACTTCATTCAGCCAAACCAGAAACGGTTTTAAAAAGGGAAGAAAAAATCGTATATATTTTTAACGCTATTTAACTAATTTATAAAACCACAATATTTGACAAATAGGGATTTAAACAAAGAAAAAAGCTACAAAATAAGCAGTAATCTTAGTTTGGGCAGTAATCTATTCCGTTAATAAACAATATTAACTTGACTTTATTAATCATTATCATTATCAGCACCATATGATAATAGTTAAATTCAAGCTTTTGTGCATCAGCCTTATTTCAACGATTATAATAGTGATAAAGGAAGTACAGGTGGATAAAGCAGATGGATATGAACTAAAATGTTCTTAAATGATCTTTTCTATTTAATCTCTGTCTAGCACGATGAAGAAACAGGTTTGTTAAGTATTTTATCTTCCTTTTATCATTAATAATCGATTGTTACTACTTCGTTATCGATATTTCCAGCCATTTTTGTGACTCACAAATAGTTTTATTTTTTTGTTTAGCAACTTAATGGTTCTTAAAAACAAGTTATAACACCTTCTTTCACCATTATTAAAATATTTACTTCGCAATAAATTAAAATTTTGCTAGAAACGGAATAGTTTTAAAGACTGCTAAATATAATAAAACAAATAAAAATTAATGAAATCAAATAAAAAACAGTGGAAAAAATATAAAAATAACTAACACAATATGGAAGCACCAACGAGGATACTTAAAAAAAAGATTAATGTGGAAACTATTTGATGTCGTCGAACACCAGGAAGAATAATAATATAAGCAATTAGTGGAGTGATAAATAAAGAGGAAAGTCCGAAAATTTTCATATCAAACACAACTGGTGTACGATTTTCACCAAACCATGTTGGATCACCATTTTCGCGAAATGCATCGAACCAACCGATCGTCGGCATTACCTTTTCTTTAATTTTATTATGTATTATAGATTCTAATTACAAATAATATTATAAGAGAAAATCGATGAACAAATGTCGATTTATCCAAAATCTTTGAATTTTTTCACAAAATGGCAAATAAAATTTAATTTTTTATTTAATTTTTTCATTTTAATGTATATTTTTACTTCTTCTAAAAGGGCATTATATTTCTGGTTTGCCGGGTTCCATTGACTAATGGACGAAAGCTTTTATGGTTAGAAGGTCATATGAGTAAAGAGCTATAAGCAAGTCATTGAAATTTCGCTTTTAATGATAGGTTTATTCTCGCAAAAGAACAAAAATTGAATCCTTTCACATAAATTTCGCACCAAAAATCAGTGAACGCCATTCAATTCATAATAATTGTCAGTTAAATTGATAACAAAATTTCCCTAAAAAAATATAAAGCAATTCACGAATATATCGTGTATAGAGAATTCTTTTAAAATAAACTCATGAAATAATTAACTAAAAAACTGGCATGAAATAAATGAAAACAATGAGTAAACTGTTCCAAATCTCGTTGAACAGGTTTTTGTCATAATTAAGTAAAAAGTGGTCAGCGACTTATATTTCTCGCTGTGCTATTAACATAGTTGGAAATTTTCACCACTGAGAACATCTTCACTCTTGGTGATTAGAACTACAAGACTACAAGTGGACCACCAGCACCACCCACATTTTTTAAAGATAGCTCCTATCAGTCCTATATGAATAATAAGCTGAGCCACTGATTCTTATAATCTAGACTAATAGCCTGTCGGCTATCGTACCTTAGGATTATCGCATTATTATTATTGATAAATTGATGAATAAATAATTATTATTGATAAACTGAATAAATTAGCATTAGGAATCTTCACAATGAATCAAAATTATGTCAAATAAAAGGAAATTTTGAAGAAAAAGAGGACATAACAATTATAAGAAAGGAAGCAATAAAATGATTTGGAAATAATATATTTAAAAATAAAAATACGATTTATTATATGAAGATAAATAATAAAAAATGTAAATGAAAATGATTTATCTGAATGCCAAATATAAAAAATATATTTAAACCTAAAATATCGAAAATAAAGAAAATAGTTTTTTATTTTTAAAAATAATGAATTTCTCACAAATAAATTATAATATAATTATAATTATAATAAATAATAAAATCAAATAATAAAAATAATATAGAATTTAAAGGTCAAATAAGAAATGCAAAATTAATTAATAATCGTTAAAAAAAATATAAAATAAATTTTCCTAAATTGCACAAAATTGTAGATAAAAATTCTAAAATTAATACAAATTTTAAGTTTAATAAATCTTGAATAAATAAAAATTTAAAAAAATTTTCGATTGAAAAAAATTCGCAGAAAACCCATCAAAAACAAATTAAATAGACAGCAAAGAAGACGAAAAAATAAAATTGCTTCACTTTTTGTCGCAAAACATTTCAAGGTCGACGAAATTGATGAACATTTGTCCAAAAAGAATTTCTCAATTAATTACATTAATTTCTCCAGATTTAAAAAAAAAACAGTTCATAAAATTGCCATATTAAGTTGCGAAATTGGTACTTTTGGTGAGCTTTTTGATAAAACTTCTCTTATCAAATAATCGAATGGGCAACAAGATTCCAATAAAGTCAGCCAAAACAAAAATGATAAATACTATTTCGATGAAATATCGAAATGAGTGTAATACGTGAAATAGAAGGAAATATCGAAATAAATGTTCAGCTGATAATGATAACGATATTTTGAGGTAATTTTAGGTGAAAATTGCGTATTTATAGTACCAAAAATAAAGATCAAGGGTATTCCAAAGTCAAGGCGCAGTGGATATTCATATGGAGGATCAGTTGCTGCTTCATATTGAAAAGTTTATACCTGACAAGGTCTTGCCTTTCTCTTGGCTATAAGATGAAGTTCTTTAACCAGATAGCCATTTTAGAATAAACAGAATAAAAGCGAGCCTCTAAACGAATTTCATTTTCAGGAAAAAGTTTACTTCTATAAAGAATCTTCGATCGAATCATGGAGTTTTTCTCGATAAAAAGAATATCTCAACGGTCTCTTCTTTCCATACATCTTATAAGCATCTTTTTGTGGCCAAATCCATAATTTTAGACCAGAGGAAGAAGGCAGTCGGAGTTATGAACTGGTATATAACTGATTCACTAGTATTTCTATCACCAAATGACTATGGCAAAATTTTTCTAGTCCAGCAGGATGAGCCTAACCAGCAGTGATGATAAAACCTCAACAATCATTGAAAAAATAAATCAGTGAGATTCGTAATTTCAAATTTATATTGATGGAAATTAATTATTTAATTTTTATAAATTATTATAAATTATTTAATTTTTTACACACACTGGAAAATGACACAGATTTTTATTTTTCTTGCTTATAACAACGAGTGCGGGTAATAGTAATTAAAAAGTTCAAGGAGGATTAAAACAAGTGGTAAAATTATCAATTGTTTTTGCTCCTTCAAATCATTGAATGCTTAAATTTTAATAAAATTAATTATTAAATTAAATATTTTGCAATATTTTGCAAAGGGAATTTTATAATTTGCAAATTAAAAATACATGAAATAATGTTAAAATTAGCTAAAATAATGCAATTTATATTTTAACAATTATTCTCTTTTTCCAAGAAAATTCGTCAGTTTTATATTTCAGTTTGAAGCAGTTAAATGGATTCCGTGGAGGATGAACCAAACATTTGAATGGTCAATGGAGAAGAGAGTACGAAAGGTCCAGCAGGATATGGAGTTGGGCGTTAAAAAACTGAGTGACCTTTGTTATTTCATGGGACGGATATGGCACAGTGGCTTGGAAATGTATTACAATGGAGGCAGCTAAATCAGTAATAATGCCAGCTATCAGAAGAGTCAAACGAATTCTAATATATATTTTTGTGAATGAACTAACTATTAATTGATATTTTTGCAGCAGATAGTTTCAACTTAATATTTATTTTTTACTGCATCACAAGAATTACAAATATTCGTCTTTTTAATATATTTGTAGTTTATAGGAATAGCGTATTAATTATGGCATTTAGGGAATTTATATGGAATATAACAACAATAATTCGGACTTCAGTCAGTCTTCTCCACCATCTTGACGAGGGCCCTTCAGCAAGACCTTCCTATCTGCTTTTCTTAAGTCTCTGATAGAGGATCCGGGATTCAGCATAACCCATTCCATCCACAGAAAAGGATTTTTTATAGCAGTGGTTTTTGAAATAAAAAATTTATAGTAAAGGAACCAAGTTCTTAATTGATTTTACCACATCTTTAGGTAAGCAGAACTGAAAGGAAGAATTAGATAAAGCAGTATGGTTCCAATGCTTTGTTTCTTTGAAGCGAGCGAACCTGAAGTTGAAATCTAAATGAGTGCTGCTAGCTATCTATCTATTGCTATCTATCCTCAAGCCATGATTCTTAAGGCTCAAATCATATCCTTTAATGTGATGCGTATAACCATGTGAAATTTTTTAAATTGTTGTAAATTGCTACTCCAAATTCTAAATTTATCGGAAATTTTCTTTATTAAAAAATTTACAATTTTAAAAATCTGTTGAAATGAAATTTCATAATAATGCAAAATTAATATTGTCTACGGAAATAAATGAATAAAAAAAGTGGTGAATTTTTGGGTCAAAGTTTTCTTAAAAAATTTTACAGACTGATTCATACTGATACGGAAATTCATTTTTCCTAGAATTACAAAATTACAAAGCCTAAATTTATAAATAATTTATATTGTGATGCAGAATTATGCACTATACGCTATTCTAATATCAAAAGAATTTGTAATAGGCCCCAATTTGGTGTAAAATCAATGCCTGGAACTGGTGAATTTAGCAAGTTGTGGGCTAAATGATATCGAAGTAACAAAGCCTAAATTTATAAGTATAATATATTATGATGCAGAAAGTTACACACTATTTTCTATTATTATTTTAAAATATAGGTGTTAATATTTAGATGTCTTATCCTGATAGCCAATGGAACAAATTTAATTACTAATAATGCGAGCTATTAGAAGGAGATATGATAAGAGATAAAGTGATAACTAAAGAAAAAGTGCTATCAACACTAAAAATTATTTTATGAAATTATTTTATGAAGATGATGCAGCCGGAAATTGAATAAGGACGAATTTACGAATTTTTTAAGAAGTCTGGATGATCATCTGAATGGCAGTTACGGCAATTTCTTCTCTTAAATCTTTTTAAGATAACATAAATCGATTCAAAACAAAGAATAATGGACATAATCGCTGATTTTTGTCAAATTTATTCGTTAATAGCCATTAATCATCATAAATAAATAAAAATAAAAAAATAATCGAGGCAATTTTAACAGTTTAGACTTGGATGAAACTTAATTATGAAATGACCAAAATAATAACATTTTTCATGCACAAATAAATGCTGGGAGTTGTACTCCCAGCGAGAATAAGTCTATCTTCCAGAAAACTGGCAACTCACTTATACTTCCATCGCCAAACGATTTGCTCCTTAACTCCAGCAAGCAATTCCAGCGGAGCGAGCCTAAACAGAAAATATGTTGAGTTCTTCGAAAATATGGAAGAAACTACTTTACAAAATATTAAAAAGAAAACAAGAAATATAAGGATTGATGAATATTGACTATAAAGATGGAGAACAAGCAATGCATTGATGGATTTAGGCCTTTTTATGAAATTATTCATCTTCCATCTTCAATACGAATAAGAATTAAATTCGATAGGATAATACGTAATTGAAATGAAAAATAATTTTGAAGAATGGAAATACATGGAAAACTGGATTCATTAAGTACCTTTTACATAACTACTAAATCTTTATATTATATTCACATTAGCAAATTTTTATTATACAAATAATTCTAAAAATATATTTCACTGAACCAACCAATTTAAGTATTTTTTTTAAAATAACAAGAAGAATTTAAATAAACCA